TATAATTTGTTTAATGGTTTATTAACCCGGTACAAGCAAAAAAATAATGTTCCATTATGAGACGTGACTTAAACTCATAACACATACCTACCTTTATAATTATGTGCGTACACACAAATCGCTAACTAAATTAATAGCAGGCGACTTATACTTTGTGTAACGCCTTAGACTATAATTTGTATAACGGTTAATACTCACGGTACAAGCAAAAAATAATGTTCCATTATGAGACGTGACTTAAACTCATTACACATACCTACCTTCATAATTATGTACGTACACACAAAATCGCTAACTAAATTAATAGCAGGCGACTTACAATGAGCAATGAACAAATTATACATAAACAAATGAACGCACATTCATCGCGCTTTATTTTAAACCGTTTAAATGGCAACTTTGCACAAAAGCTAATGGTCACAACAAGACTTTTGACATGTTTCTTTTTCTTGTATATTTTGGTACCGTTTGGTCGCCGTATAGAGTGAGACCACAGATCAATAATACTAGTATTTCTTTATCTTTGAGTGAGACAGATAGTTTACAGAAACATTAAAACAACCGCTACATATTAATAAAGTACAATTCCTAACTTATGAGTATCAGTATTATTTTATTACACAGTATTATTTATTGTTGACGATGCTTTGAGACACACCAAAACGCACTATACGCGCAGTTTAGGGTTTTGTAGTTTATGAGTATTACGACCCGTTTTTAACAAGTAACAACTTCATCAAAAAAAAATTTATAGACTTTTTATTTTGAACTGCATTTTCAAAGTAGGTAGATTTTATAAGCTCGCGGATTAATACTCTTAGGCACGTATTTAAAAAGGTGTCTCAGTCGTGAATCTATTCTTGAAACTAATTTCTAGTAGAGATTTTATTATTGAAAGTCACTGAAAACGAGATTCACCGATTCATACTCAAGTGAGTGATAGCTTATTTTAGAACGATCAGGTATTACGAAAGGTTTTACTTTATTTACGAAAGCATTACTTATTGAATTGTTTCAAAATATATAATTAGAATTTAATAATCACTGAAAAATGGTCAGATGTTTTATGGCATTGGTTTTATGTGCGTTTATAGGTAGGTAGGTTATACGGCTCATTACTACTAAATATCCCACATTAGTTACATAACTGGTTCAGATTGCCATAATTGACTAATCGCAAGTATGGGTAACTATAACGTATTCACTTAATTTTTCTATTAAATAAAGCCTAGTCCAGTTGCAATTGTGTGTTGACATTATTTCAACTAAACTTTTTCTCTCACAACTCACAGGCAAAAGCAAAATAAGAAGCATGAACCATACTTACAAGAATAAGCAAATACTACAAGTAGGTAGGTACATCACAAAATAAATATCATGTCTAATCTAAAGTCAGTTTTTAGAACATTTCAATTTGATCGGCCATTCTAACCCCAAATTAACTGATGTTAATGTTTTTAGACAAATAGTTTTAGACTGGTTTTAAAACATTCTAAATAAAAAAAAATAAGCACATGCCTGAGGACCTTATACCAACTCCAGGCTGGAAATTTTAATTTAAATTGTAGGGTGACTTTCAACATTCGTGTATTTTTACGGAATTCTGATTTAAATAACTAACTACGGAAACTATTTGTCAGTCCTTCTGAATTCATTTATCCACTTTCACAGTTTACCGGGAGGAAACTTTGATATCACACTGACGCATTGTTTGAAGTAATTGTTATTAAGTTTTACTAGTTATTTCGGTATCAATTTATCATACATAGAAAAGTGTTATATCCATAGACATATCTTTTTTAATAATAATTTGGTCAATAACCAAGGAGTTGAATCATCAGTTCATCAACAAGCTACAATAGCGACATACTTGTGACTCACTCGTCCATTGTCTTCGTAACTTACGTTTGAACGTGAGTAAATACATTTTGAAATTCCCTCGTATTTCTTCGAACCTCACCCGAAGATAATCGATTGAAACGTTTAACTCCCACGCAGTGTACAATGTATAAAATAAGTATATAATCCAGACCGCACTACATTTTTGTATAGCGCTCAACAGAAACAGATACTGATCTACGGGTTTGACATAACGGACATACCAAGATTAATGACGCTTATATCTTATTTGGTTAAATCTAATAGTTGTCTATGTTCAGTTCACGGTGCACGTGTTTTATCGATATTCCGTTTTATTATATTATTATCATAAAAATATACACGAACGCTAATATGTTTACATATTCACTTCAAATATTCAAATAAGTTGAGGAGATGATACCTAATCAATACTCACAGTATTCCTGTTTGAGACAAGAGTACAGGTCAACATTTTTGCTTTGAGAATTGTAGTAGCATTGTATAGCTACTGTTATCTTTATAGTGCAAGTTTGAAACAATCCCACGTTTTACTTTACTGCACTATGTTTTAATCAAGTACAGTAGTCACAATCACGTAATTGTTTTAAAAAAATAAAATTAACCCGCACACACATATTACACATAACTATTTAGAGCCTAACTATGTAAACTAAATAAACTGAATTAAGAGAAATCAACAATAAATAAAATATAACCCACAAGCACACAGATTTAATTATATAAATCCTTTTTTTTTGTAAATATTTAAAATATATTTATACATACCCAAAATAGGAAAAATAGACAGAGTATTATTTATTGTATGTCATATACGGGATATATGTATACTGTATTGTTACGTACAGATGGTCTTATCATATTCATGCATACAAATATTTGCACTAAGTGGAAATCAAACAGCGAACTTCGGCGTGACGTGCGAATGCATTGCCATCGCACCAAAGAATTCATCAAAATATATTAATTTAATTCGAATTATATCATCTAAAGAATAGGTTGTTGAAAATATCTCAAAATTAGCTGTTGAAGAGAGATTTTACGTTGAATTACAAAGGTCATTGACTTCCTACTGAATGCCTCTTGCGGTTTTAAAGCACTTAATACTTGTTTACCTATTGATATGTTCAGATGTAGATTTATCGGATAATGTATGTGACATTCCAAACAGGAAAAACTTTAATATAAGTCACGATTTTGGAAATTTGTTTTGTCTTTTGGGCCGCCCTGTCAGAGGATTAATATCTCATAACCCGCTGATCCTGACAGCAGCCTTTTGACGGTCTAATGGATTTTAATTTACGACTTATAAATTATTTAATAAATTGGTTTTTATAAAAGTAACAAAAAAAACTCATGGAGAAGGATTTTACAAAACTTCTTGTTATAATAAATGCATTTTAATAGTAAATTTTTTTTTTGGCTGTTTGTGTAAGTGATCTGTGTGTGGAATGTGGAAGTGATAAAGAATACGGAGTGTCGCCGAATAGGAGTTTTTTTATCCCATGGGTGTCGTAAGAGCCGATTAAGGGGCAAACCATGCAGGACAACCGTCCTGCAAAGAGAAGGAAAACTTGAAACAAACCTTATATCAACCCTTTTGGCCAGCGTGGTATTGTAGGCCAAAACCTCCTGTCTAAAGCTTTCCTTAGAAAGGAGAGCCGTTTGGCCTATATCCAACAGTGGACTACAGAAGGTTGTTGATGATGATGAATGTGTAAGAAGATGCACCTTTTACACACACCAGTTTTTTTTCCATTTAAAGTTAATTTGTAACCTATAGATCTCAGAAATGAAAGGGGCTTATAATAACACGATAAGTTACAGCCTGCAGCTCGCCAGTACTCAAGGTACTCTTAAGGAAGATTTGTTCTTTAAATGAAAGACTGAGATTTTGAGATAAATCCCCCTGTTGGTTTAAAAAACTAACTAAAATTGACCATTAAAGCTATTGTTTGTCTAAACCACTTAAGCAAACCTACATAGTCAATATACATAACTGGCTAAACTAAGCTACAAGAATAAAGACAAACTCCATTATTGAAGTATGTCTGCAGGTTTTGATGTGTACGTTATTGACGTATTTTATGTGGGCTCTTTGAAAGTTGACCTCACTATGTTGACAATAAGTAACGTTGAAGATTCGTAGGCTACCATAGAGGATATTTTTAATCGTCCTGAAAAGAAAGAACATCTGATATTTTTCTTGTGATCACGTTGTGCAGCGATATCTTCTTCCTGTTCATAAAAATATTCTAAACGTCAAGAGAAATTAAGAGATGTTGAATATGATTACCTAAACCTATACGTGGATCGCAATTCCCAAGCGCTGTCGAAGCCGCATATGTCCATCTATCACGCGATGGACCTGGCACTCGCACGGTGTATCCTTGGACCGCTAAGAAATAGGTCTATATAATAATAACTTTATACATCTAACACAAGGCAGTCTGATTCCAAACTAGGCAAATTATGGTAACCACACAGAATACCTACATACATATTATAGATAAATAACACCCAGACACAGAACAAATGCTCATACTCAACACACAATTATTTGTCCTGGGTGGAAATCGAACCCACGACGTTTAGCAATCAGGGACCACTAGATCAACAGGGCTAAATGTGGTGGTGTGTATGGTCGAGAGAGATCTTTGGAGGTGGAGATTCTTCAGAGAGAGGCCTGGCTATGCGCGTATGTGCGATCACATAATGTTTACAAATACATATCTGTCCACTTGCCATCAGATAGTCTGTGTACATGTAGAAAAAAGTTTGAACATTTATAGTATGGATTACTATATCGGATTATCCAAGGAATTTGTTTGTATTGCCTACTTACTTACTACCTATCAAAATAAAAACCTTTTCATATTGGTTGTTTTGTTCATATTAGTTAACAAAAAACAGGCGTCTATAAAGGGAAAAAGGCTCTGTTATCTTTTTAACTAATGTAGAATGCCAATGCAAAAATATTATAAAGGCGTGGAGGTACGAGCCCAAAGCATTTTGCGAAGCGACTCCTTGCGGGCTGCACATAAACGCGACGCGCACTTGCTAACATTTTAACTTTTGTTAAGTTGATTTCAAGTGAATGTAATAATTACCGAAGCCATAAAATGTTAATAGGGAGAAAATTAATTGTACTATGGGTTGGACTCCTGGCGTCTAGTTACGGGAATGACTCTGACGGTGCATTTTATACAGACGATGCGGTTATTTTAAATGGTATGTATGTTAGATTAGTTATTTTTGTTGCAACTAAAACTATAATAAATCAAAACATAAGCGACTGAACGTTATTTAAAAGTAAATAAATCTAAAACCAAACAAAAAATTTAAAGTAGTTTCAATGTAGGTTTAGTTTTAGACTACTTACAAATACAATAAAGAAGAAAGAATTTGTTTAACATAGAGGATTTCTTTACGTTACTCGCGTATGGCTTATTCAAAGAAAGAACCTCCAGTATCTGTACTGCGAGGAGTAAAAACAATGCATGCCGCATGTGGTTATGAGGTTTTGAGGCTAGAGAAAGTTAAAATTTCCAACTAAAGTGCTTGTCCGTCGTACCAACTAAGATCGAAAATTAATAAAATGTTATACAAATAGTATAAGGCGAAATAATTTGCATGTTTACGTAGTCAAATTGACAATAGGGTCGATGAACGTAGCGAAAACAATTTTGAAAGAATGAATGTTTAATGCAACGAAAACGGTGGTCATGAACCCGTAGTACTCGGAGGTTTTTAACACACGTGGGTTATTAATCGGAAATACTTATGGGATCAATTCAATGCAAATTGTCTGACGCCCACACGTACAAAGCCGATCACATCAATCACATCTTTGTCCGTAGAACCGCTCTCAGTTGTTATACAGTTTTTGTCACTCACTTCGAGGACATTAATTAGATCCGAGACGGCCGATTGAAGAAACATTTGACGCCGCTGACATTTCCTCACATTAGATTACGAACCCGGAATCCAGAGACAAACTGTGTTTGTTATTTATGAATTATTTTTGATTGTGACAACATAAAGTGTAAAAATACGAAATTGTTTGTTATTAAGTGGAGCTTAATTTTGATAGCTGAGATTGGCAACATTCTGAGCTGAAACAGCATTTATTTGCAATAAATTTCTTCTTACTGATATCAAGTTCAAGGTGTCGCGACGGTATGCATACCACATACCATTGCACGTTGTACAAAATGCGTTGTACTATCTATCAGCTATGACAAAATAACTTCTTTCTTAACTGCATTAAAGTTTATTTTGCTGTGTATTTTAGAGATCAAAATGATTTTTTCGTTTTAAATCTAGGAACCTTTAAAGGTCGTACCTTTTCGTTAAGTAGATCTGGAGATCGGGTTTAATTACTTAAAACCCTCGGTCGTAACTTGAGTGCCATTAAACATCAGCTCCCAACATTTTCAAGGCCGATACGTTCAGGTACCTACAGATCTACTTACGTATGCGTGTACTCTTCGGACCAGTTTTTTGTTTTAATGACTATTTACTCATCCCTATGTATTTCTCTTTCTTAATATGTTGACACTGAATCGTACAATTGTTCTCGTGATAAAGTCGCCAAATACTTGGTTAGTCATATTCAGCTGACAGATACTTACGTTACTTATCGTTGCATGTTGAGTTTTAAATTTGTGGAGCACTTTAACAATAATACGTTACAATTGTATTTGTCAATTAGAGTCACGAGAGGCAACAAATTAAATATCTTGATCATCGTAAAGTAGTCCCTACTGTTATTTATTCTGCATTTGAAAACCCAGACAAAGTTTATAAACGTTAAAGTTGTAGATTGGTGATGGTGTAGATTGGTTGGGTAGTTAATAAAAATTAAAAACTTCAATTTTGGAGTCAAACATCTGTGATTTTGAATGACGTTAAATTTATATTTATTGTCAGCCAACATATATGTATAGTTGTAAAGAATATAATATTACTTATTTGGGTCATATTGTTAGCATGCTGCACATAACATTATGGATTCCAGTGGTTTGAACATAACAGAAACCGTTATGCAGGGAATCCGAAATAAATAACATGCACGTTTACGACATGTTTGGTGCGTTGTAACTACTCGAGCTATGCTTCTAGATCGTCTTTAGAATATTAATTTATGTTTTCGAATCTGGCTGGTTCTGTGTTTATAGTGATTAATCGTTAGATAACAAAGTTAACATTTCCCATAACGGATTAACTTTAGGTTAACTTTAAAAATGTTAACTTCAGTTAACTTTCCTCAAGGCCGTAAATCGTTAATACAGTACGGAATACCTATTTACTAAAAACTACAACTACCTATTTACTAAATTCGCGAAAAACACGTTGTGATATGTACATTCGTGTCGGTCGGCCGGGACTGAGAGTGACGGCAAGTTTTTTTTATTTTATACAAATAAATACTAACTACTTTGTAGATTTTGTGTACGGTCTGTAATAGTTTTAGATCGTCTTTAGAATATTAATTTATGTTTTCGATTCTGGCTGGTTCTGTGGTTATAGTGATTAATCGTTAGATAACCAAGTTAACATTTCCCATAACGGATTAACTTTTAAGTTAACTTTCAAAATGTTAACTTCAGTTAACTTTCCTCAAGGCCGTAAGTCCCGCCTGTCACCGCTTCGATTGCAGTAAGGACTTGACTTAGTACACGCTGAAAATTTGCCCGGCTTGGGCGCCGCAGCGCTGGGTCCTCATTGCAGTCATCAGGGGAGAACTCTCGCTACCGGCCGTCATACGCTCCAATGCCGGTAGTGACAGATGTTTCACAGCGGTCGCATCTTTCTGCGAAGACGTCATCTCGCAGAAGGAGGCGACGGAGACGGATTTTCTCCTCCACCCACCATAACGGGCGGCTGGCCGTTATGGTGGATGGAGGAGAAAACAGCTGCAAGGAGGCTACGTCCGCGTGTGCCGGACGTCACCTAAATAGAGAATGTACCCGAAGGTGCTGCGCGCCTCTCTTTTTTCTACGGGCAAAGATATTTTAACGCTGGAACGAGCCTCGCTCTCAGACGAGAACTTTAACATTATTAATGTTCATGTCGGGGAAAATCGGCTTATTCCCAACGGCCTCCACTAAAACTGCCATCACTAGTGGTCGTTGGGGCAAAATTGTACATTTGTTCACACCGCCTCTGGTGGTGGCGGTTGAGAAAAATTTAATGACGGTTTATTTAAAATTGACCCACGGTTATGTAAAAGTACCATTTGGGCCTCTTGTGTGAATTCGTAATATATAACTGCTTTTTTGGAGGTTAATCTTCGCTAGATCCGAGTTATGAATCCTAGTTTAATATGTTCGGCGTTGGATCCCACAAAAAAAATATTATGTGTTTCCGTTGGATCCTTAATCAACACATTTGAATTCTATAGTTAGAAAAGGTGGTACAGTTCTTTTTTATTATACTCATCAATATTTAAAGAAACGAAACATTTTTATTATATACCTACTACAAATTAAACTACTATACAGATATTCATTAACCATCACCGTGAAGGAAAATGCAAAGGAATACATTTTTTTTGTTTGTACATTTTTTATATTTGATAAAGCTAAATCATTTTTCTTCGGAATAGTACACATGTTGTTGCAAAATGGGATTCAATTAAAATAGCGAATGGGACCCATCGTTAACACCTAAAAGGTGGGTTCTAAATCTGGAATCCAACGAAAATAAACCTTCAAGAAAGTAGTTATAAATAATATCGTTCTCATGTGACGAATTATTGACCTTAAATCACTTGACGCGACATACATCGATTTAGGGATTCTCGCATCCAGCTTCTGCTTCATCATTCTGGGTAGGTAGGTAGGTTCGGTCTAATAAATACATACCGAATTTAAAAATTATTTTATTTACAACAACTAGGGGGGCCTTTGTTGTGACAATATCTAAAACTTTTTGTAACTGACACCACTGTGTGGTGGCCGTCGGGAATAAGTCACATGTGTTCCCAACTGGCCCCAGTGGTGGCGGGTGGGAACAAATGTAAAAAAAACCCAACGACTACCAGTGGTGGCAGTTTTAGTGGTGGCCGTTGGCAATAAGCCGGAAATTCCATTATGCCAGCTGATGAATGACTCTTTTTCGAATAGATATAAAGATCAAAACAACTAAAAAGTACACGCTATTATATCTACTTGGTTCTTGTTGTTTGTTAATAAGCCGCTAACTTCCAGAATCTTAGCCTACAGTTTTTACAATTAGATTACTAACAGATTATCGATTAACGTTACCTTCCGTAAAATCTGCCGAAATAACGTTTAACGAAGTTAACTTTTTCGTTAACGGATTAGTGATTAACGAAGATAACTATTTAATTAACGGTGCCCAGCTATGATTTTATTCTGCCCAGAAACACTGACACAAACAAGTGACAGCTTAATCATAGACATTTAATTTTTTATAAATAGGTTCTGTTTTCGCTTGGGGTGCTTATTGTGAAGGTTTATGAAATTCTAAAATACGCTTCAGCGACATAAAAAATTGAAAATATGTTAGGAGTACCTATCTCCGGTGGAATTTTTTGTAGAACTTAAATCCTATGTCGTAGCAATGAGACGCATGTTGCTTACCTAGAACTTTGTAGTACAAGTAGTATAAATTATTATTAACAAAATAAAATATAAATTTAATGTTTATAGGACAAGTCGCAGCCGTAATTAATATTCAAATTAAGATCAAAAGTAAATTGCAGCGTTAGTATTAGTAAATAATAAAATCTTTAGTGGTAAAACGAGTTTTAAGTTAATAGGTAAATCTAACATGTGTATAATAATAAAATAATACACCTAGTTTTTTTTAAATTCATACGGTACTTGCGCATTAGCGTTGATGAAGACAACCGTTAGTTATTTACATGTGACGATTGGACCAATATATAAAAAGTAATAGACTTGTTCCGTAATTAATTGACAGGTTCATTGTACGTCGCATTCCATTACTGAACACTGCTTTATTTTTAGCTCTACTCTTGTTTACTCCATGTTTAAACTGCGGTCCCAAAAACAATAAACGTAAATAACTACCAATTATAAAAAGGGTTGAAAATTTTAATGAAGGCTGGTTTTGAAATTAAAAATGTTTTCGTCGACAAAGATAATCAACGTTGCAGTTTTTTTACTAAGTGCTTCGAAACTTCGGACTTGATTTGTTATTAAAATACAAAATAAAATTGCAAGTCTCGATTTTTAGATGGTTAATAAAATTGATAAGAAAAATCCCAATCTTGGAGGCTATTAGACGCGGTGGTCTAACAGGTTATGTTCCTAGTTCTGACGTGGCTCCTCAATCTAAATTTTTGAATTGAGGAGCCACGTCAGCACCAGGAACATAACGTGGCTCCTCAATCAAAACATTTAGATTGAGGAGCCTCCTTTATGTTTATATAACTGTAAAAGTATTATACTACAAAATCGAATCGATGTATATTTAAAAATACACTACTTAAATATACAATACATACCTACACAATACACACGAGCTATATGAGATATTGTTCCATACATAGTCAAATAATATTATTTAAAATCTATTTATAGCTATGTATAACTGTTTTCATTTTTAAATTTGAACACAACACTGTTTTATAAATATGAATTGCTATGACAGAAATAACTTGCAAATTACATGTTAAGGTCTCATCTACTTATCTACCTTATCTGAGTTATATCAAGTCAGTATCATCTACTGTACATTATTTCAATATGTCAATCACTCTGGCCGTCTAATACTTACGAAACCACTATAGAAGACAATAGGGTGACCTATTTCGGCGATGGAGATTATGATGATTGACATTTTATTTAAATGATAAAAAAGTTCTGTGGTTTAATGCATGAACCGATTTTGAGTAACATTTTAATTAGTGTTATAAGGTATACATATATACTTGAAACCAACCCTTTTTTTTTTTCTTTTTGTGGAAATCCCCTCGGACCGTCACCCCGCCGGGGCTCTCGTTCGGCGGGGCGGTGTGTCGGACTCGAACCGACTAAAACCACACGGTGTGCCCTCTTTACGCTTCCAGTTTAGGAGCGGTCCAGGTAGCTATCTCCTTCTGGACCCCTCCCAGCGCCGTCCCGCTCCTGGTGCCGGCTCCATTTCAAATTGACCTCTCTTTTTAGGCGACGTCCGGCACACGCGGACGCCGCCCCCTCGCGGCTGGCCAACTAATGCGGGTGGAGGGGAGAACCCATCCCGTCCACCCGCGGCCACACTCAGGGCGGCATGAGGCGCAGGTAAGCGCGCCTCCTCCGCCCGGTTCGCCGGCGGCAGATCAGGTCCGAGTGGAGGTCGTCCTCCCGGGCCTTCTCCGCCGCCTCCTTCTGCGAGATTACTTCCTCGCAGAAGGTTGCGACCGCGGTAAAACAACTGTCCCGTATGGCCGTAATTCGCTCCATGGCCGGTAGCGAGAGATCCACTCCGATGACTGCAGTGAGGGCCCGGCGCTGCGTCGCAGATGCGGGGCAAACCGCCAGCGTGTGCTGGGCCGAATCCTCACTGCAGTCGCAGTGGTGGCAGGCGGGACTCGATTCCCTTCTAGCGGCCGAGTACAGGTACTTTCCGAAGCAACCGTGCCCGGAAAGCACCTGCGTCAGCCGGAAGGAAAGGGTCCCGTGCTGCCGCCCTGCCCACTCGGCGATGACCGGCTGGAGGGCCTCCACGGCGGCGAAGCCAGCGCGTGGAGTCTCGAGCCGGAACGACCATCTCACCATGGTGGCTCGGCGAGCGGCTTCGCGCCACTCGCGAACGTTTTCTGACTTCCGGGCGGAGGGCGAAATCCGCTCTCCGCCCGGAAGTCAGCCACTCGCCGATAAACTTCGGCGAGCACTTCCGCCTCCAAATCCCACGGGGGTGTTCCGGCCAAGGCGCAGGCCGCCTCGGTGGACACCGTGCGGTATCCGCGTATGGCTCTGACCGCTAATATCCTCTGGGGGCGCCAGAGGCGCGCCCTATTCGGGGCGGTCAGAGCCACCACCCACACCGGTGCACCATAAAGCGCCATGGACAACCCCCGCGTACAGCCGCCTCGTGGGAACACTGGCCCCGCCCAAATTGGGCAAAAGTCGCCCTAGGGCGGAGGCAGTGTCCACCAGCTTCGGACCAAGCTGTCGGAAGTGCTCGTCGAAGAGCCACCTACCGTCTAGGACCAGACCCAGGTACCTCATCTGGGCCCGGACCGGTACAAGGACCGAGCCGACCTCGATTGAGGCGCCGGCGGGTGGATCACGACGGGGCCCATGAAATAATAGGGCCTCCGTCTTATCCAGGGCCACCCGCAAACCCAACGTCTCAATGCGCCCGACCACCTGGGAAACTCCCGTGGCGGCCAGGCGCGCCGCCTCCTGGAAGTTAGCCCCCCGGGCCGTGACTAAAGTGTCATCTGCGTAGCAGAGTACACCCAGCCCGGGGGGGAGACGCCCTCGTAGGGCCCAGTCGTATCCAATGTCCCGGCTTCCTCAGCAGGACCAGCTTCCCGCACTTCCAGCGCTCAGGGAAGCGTCCGGACGCCAGGCTAGCGTCGAACACTTCCCTGAGGTGGTCCGACATGTAGTCGAGGGCTCGGGCCATCACTCGGGCTGGAACCCCGTCCGGCCCGGGGGCAGTGTTCTTGGATCTAATCCGTAGAACAGCCACCCCCAACTCCGATTCCCTGACGGGCGGAACATCAGCCTCGCTGCCCCCGTCGTCTCCGGCTGATGCAGCCATCGACGGGGGTGTGTGCTCCGCCCGCTGCGGGAATAGGCCCTCGACCACTTCCTGCAGGAAGGTGGGCTGGAGAGTCTCCGTAAGGGGGGGGCCCGACGTGCGGAGCTTTTGACGCACCGCACGATAAGGGCGACCCCAGGGGTCACGCTCGAGACTCTCCAGCATCTCCACTCTACTGACATCCTTGGCGCGGCAGATGGCCAGCCTCAGAGTTTCCGAGCTTCTCGGTACTCCGGTCCACCTCCTCACCGACCCCGCGGTGACGTCGCCGACTACGGGTGAGGGACCTCCGAGCACGTACACAGGCCGCACGGAGGTCCGCCAACTCCTGGGACCACCAGTAGACCTCCTTCCTTGGAGGCCGACAACCACGAACGCGGGGCATGGCCGCGTCGCAAATCTGCGTAATCGCTTCGCAAAAGCGGCCAGCCCCCATGTCGACCTCCTCGGTCGGGGCCTGCGGAGACAGCCAAGAGTAAATAATGGCCGCCTCCTCTAGTAGGTCCCTGTCGAGCTTGGCGACAGCCCACCGCGGGAAGCGGGAAGGGCGCCGCGCCGCGTGACCCCTACTGGGGTCCTGGGACCGGGAGAGCTCGAATCGGATGTACAAATGATCCGACCCCCCCTGCTGTCGCACGCACGTGTTGGTGGAGCCTCTGTTCAGCAAACAGAGGCCCAGGACTAACCTTCTTCACTGTTCATTTGTCCGGATGTGATATGCTACCGTATAATTTATTCGATTGTCTTGAAATTCTGCATACACATTGTAAAGGATACAGCAAAGGACCATACCTATGGTTTTATATTTAAAAAGAAACTTGCAAGAAATGGGAATATGTTACGCAAGCGAAGTCGCTGGGCAGAACTAGATAGTCTATTTCCATGTACAAACATAAAGTAAAATTTAAATTTATGTTTTCCACATAGTTAAACAATAATGTTATGTGATTTTAAATGATAATATACACATTATTTCTATTAATAAAATTTACAATAATCTTTCCGTAGGTATAGGTGCTCATGGTGTTACGTCGTTTATGTCGAGCATGACATCATAATTGGCTGGAACCACGATATTGGAAACACTATGTTATATTAATAATAAAATGAGAACCCGTTAATTTCTTTAAACTTTGGCTGAATAATACCGAATTAGCAACGTATGTTTGTACGGAAACAATAATACATAATGCAAAAAATATTTTCTTACGAAGTTTGTGTATTTTTCCAGCTTACGTGGGAAGAGTCAAGCGAGATATTTCTAACGCAACGCGCGAAGGAAAACAATTCCTACTTCTGAAACTTCAAGAGGTATTTAATTTTAGCTTTAAATTAGAAATACATTTTATTGTAATTTCAAACTATTTGACACGAATTTAGTTATTTCTCTAGAACCGTAAACATTATTATTAAGTAAAACCCATAATTTTAGATTTTCATAACTTTATTTTAACTTTTCTCTTTTATTATTACTTATAACGCTTTAAGCAAATCTTTCATTATTTGAAACAGTAGTGAACTGCTTCTTTAGTTAGTTATTTTGGATGGGACTGGACATTATTCTTTAGGATATAATTATATGTTTTGGAGCATGATGGTATAATCCATATTTTAGCAGACTGAAGGATCTTTTGGAACTTATTGCGAAACAACACTTGGCAAGAAGGGAACATGCAAGACCTTCCGGGATTGTTACCCTTTGTTCAAAGTGGCCGACTTTTCCGGCTCGGATGGATGGGCGATGGGGCACTACGATACTTGCAGCTATATCAACGGCGATAATATGGAGGTAAGTAACTAATTTAGACATGAGCATCAACAGAAAAAGGTTCACAGCAGAATTTGAGCTGCTAAATAAGATGAGAAAGAAGATGTGTCAAATGTTTTTATTATTTACACAAATATTTAAATAAGGAACCACTACTCCTTCTTGTTATTTTTTCAATTGTAAAGCTTTAACCATATTGTTTTATCTTAAACTATGACGAAATCGCAAAATCGAACTTGGATAATCTGACAGTATTGGCATTAGCGCAATAAACATCAATTCCGAGTTCAAAACAAAACTTTTTTTCATAAAATAGGTAGGTAGGAAAAGCGTTGGAGAAGTGTTTTTTTAATATGTAAGGTAGCTATGTCATATTCTGTATCCGTGGCAGAGTGTATAGAGAAGTTGATGATGACTGCATGTACGGGTATAGGAGTCCATAAACTAAGAAGTAAATATTCATTTCAAACATTACTTATTAATGGAGTTATTTTGCAATAATTCATAAGCAATATATTTTTGTGATCTACAATTCACTAAAAAAATTACACAAGTAATAAAAAAAAACTTTGATAATATGCCGATAAATTCGATTATGATAATTTTGTGTAAACTCTTTCAAATTTTGCAAAGTTACGCATTTTAAGAGTTTTTGTGTCTACAAATCCCATTTCTCATATAATTTCTTAATAATTAATACTTTTGATAAATAAATATACCTTTTATATTATATCTTTTATCATAATTTTTATTAGGTGTTTGGGGTTTGCTGTACGCAACCAGTGGGTACACCACCACAGCAAGAACCTGACGTCCAACGCTTTGGTTTTCCCCTACAACCAGCCTTTCCTGTCAAAATTCCACCAGCATCAATGCCAGGGTAAGTTAATTTAAAAAATAATTAGTAAAAGTACAGTCCTTTAAACGTTGAATCCAGTTATCGATAGAAAGACGCACTCTTTTCATAGCATAATTCTTCACTACCAATATAGATTGTTTTAGGACCAAGTAGTCATGGCGTGTAGAGCATGCCATACTCTCTAAAACTAACTATAAATCTTAATCCAGCGGATTAAGATCGGGACGTCATGACGGCCAGTCTTCAGCTATGTTTTGACGCCTTTTTTATAAAAATATTCCGCAGTCACTCCTTGACATCTTTCGGTTCTACGAGGGGTGATCAATAAGTAATGATAATCAATATGAAACAGAACTATTAGATTAAAAAAAGTATTTTATTTTTCAACATAGTCTCCTTGCAAGTTAATACATTTAGTGTATCTTTTTTCTAAGCCCATGATTCCCTTAGAAAAAAATTCTTTGTCTTGACCCTCCCAAAATGCCTCTACTGCGGCCATCACTTCACTATTGTCCTCAAATTTGTTGCCCCGGAGGTGTTCTTTGAGCCGAGGAAAGAGGTAGAAGTCACTGGGAGCTAGATCTGGCGAATAGGGAGGGTGTTCGAGCAGTTCGAACCCCGTTTCTTCAATGGCAGCCATCGCAACTGCGGCTTTGTGAGCCGGGGCGTTGTCTTGGTGAAACAGCACTCCAGCGCGCAGTTTACCGCGTCTTTTTGACTTAATAGCTTCTCGCAATCTTCTTATTTGGCCTGCGTAGTAAGAGCCTGTTATAGTGGCCCCCTTTTCCAAATATTCCGCCATAATAATTCCTTCTGCATCCCAGAAAACAGACGCCATAACCTTTCCCGCTGAACTTGACACTTTGAATTTCTTCGGCGTTGGTGAGGAAGCTCGTTTCCAAGTCATTGATTGTTGTTTGGTTTCGGGATCAAAGTGGTGGATCCAGGTCTCGTCCATGGTCACAAAACGCGACAAAAAAAAATTCTTTATCGGCCTGGAACTTTTGAAGATTCACCCTCGAAATGTCGACTCGTTTCTTTTTTTGCTCGTCGGTTAACATTCTCGGTACCCAACGCGCAGAGACCTTTTTCATATGCATTTTGTTGACAATGATTTTTTGAACGCTGCCATAGGAGATCCCTGTGACCTCAGCTACATGCCTTACGGTCACCCTTCGATCGGCCAACACGATATCTTCCACTTTTTTGACGTTTTCTCCAGTAAGGGACGTGGAAGGGCGTCCCTCGCGATGTTCATCTTCAGTGGAGGTTCTGCCCAGCTTAAATTCCTTTGCCCAGCGTGCGACTGTGGAATATGGAGGAGCAGACTCCCCCAATGTTTCCTCTAAGTCGCTGTGTATGTCTTTGGTAGACATTTTTTTCAGGCAGAGGTACTTGATGACAGCTCTTATTTCATTTTTCTCCATTTTGATGTTTTCTCTTCGACAGTTCGTATTCAAATGAATGTATCTCCCGGTAATGGTGTCCTATTTATACATTTTTTTGAAGCTGAAGTAGTGGATATATAAGCAAGCAGAAAAAAAAAAATTTGGGTTTTTGTGCGTTCTAGAAATACTCGATTATCATTACTTATTGATCACCCCTCGTAGGTGCTATATTCATTTCCCAAGATAAAATATTATGCTTGCTGACAAGATTTCTTTGAATTCTTTCCTTCACTGCTTTGGTCACCTTTGTCGTACAAATTCTACGTAAACGGTCCGATCTTTTTGTGGCACAAAGAGAGGAAATTTCATTGTCCTACCGATAGCCTGGTACACAAACATTCGACTAATACCAAGAGGATAGAGAGTTGAGAAAAATTGTGTTTGGCTACATACCTGCTTTGTGTAATGTTATCATAGCAATTCAGTTCTCTTTATCACCCCACCACTCCATTTTAATATTACCAAATTTATTTAACACATATTGGTGCGAAAATGAGAAAACACAATGAATATTCATATAAGAATAACAGATTAGAAATTGCCCCAGCCCACCACAGAGCTCGACTAAAAAGAGATAGAGGGCACTATCTATTATCCATCGCTCTCGTTGCCCATAATTCAAACTTGGGGCTCTTGTGCACTCTATGCTTCTATCTCTATGTGCCAAACTAAGTACATAATTTATATTATTATATGAGTATACTGTGCTCAAACTGCTAGAGACAAGTTTCTTATTGTTGGCAATATTATATCATAAATATTTGTCATTTGTATAGACTTTCAAGTGGTTTAATGTCAGCCCTTTCTCGTTGGTACGGAGGAGACAGCAATATTCGTCAAATTCCTGCGCAATGGCCTCCACCAATTCCGACTCATCCTCCAAATCACACTGCGGCAACACATCCACCAAACTTGGGTAAGTAATCAATATTATACTATAACTAATCATAACGTCATATACGTCTTTAAAAGTTAAAAACGAAACCATAATAGAATCACTTCGTATATGTTAAAGAAATCACGTATCTAAGTCAATCACAAGGGATAACCACTTAATCTTTACATTTAAACATTTTACTTAAAAACTTTAATAAGAACTTCATTATTCTCAGTACATAGTTGTCATAATAGTTGCAGGCGTAACCACAAGACCAACGAGCGCTTACCCCACAACCACAACTTGGGCCACAAAACCACAAAGTACAACCAAACAGGTACATTACAGTCACTTACGATGATAACCAGATCACGTATGCTTCAGATATGTATAATAGATAGTGTTATATAAATATAGACATGGCCTTCATATCCTGCACTCCCGACGCGTCCTACGCGACCAGGCACACCTGCGCAGCCTATACAACCAACACAACCGGCCGTTGATGGTTCATGTGGAATAAAGAATGGACCACAGGTACGAGAATCTAATTCTTTTAAACATTAGCGACATTTTAGGTAACTTGTTCAGAAAAAAAATATGTTACTCATATTACTCATTTATGCGGCACATCTACGTGGCAAATCTACGTTTTCTGAATTCCTAATCCATAGGTAGGTTCTTAAATATATATACTCGTATAAGACACTATTGATGGGTACTTAATCTTTAGATATGAGCTACCTGCGACTATGACCTTCACATTTAAAGCAGTGACTTGACTTTATTAAAGTTGACGAATTTGAAATGCTTGTCGTTATTTATAAGTTTAGTAAGGACATATTTTTTTGCATTGCGATTATGAGTTCTTAACAATTTACAATACATCTTGATATCGGATTGTATTGCTTTGATGTATCTAATATTAAAATTGAAGCTTTATCTAATATTTTAAACGGAATAGGAACTAAGAGAACCAGGTGGTGTTCCAAGTCTCATGCGAGTATTTATGTTTTTGCGTGGGAGGTCCGGGAGGAAGAACAACACCTCCTGCATTTATGATTTTGCACGTTGTGACGAGCGTATCTTTTTCACTGGACATTTTGCAAATATTTCTTTGACCTTTTTTGAGCTAAAACTCTCGGATTTTTCTGAATAGTGCTCGTGGCAGTTTCATCTAAGTTATATATGCGCGCCATCAGCAAAGGCTGAACTCTGAATTACGACTAAGCACATTTTGAAAGTTGTCAAATAAAATTTCATCGGTTTCTTCATTAAAGGCTGTTGCCCTTGCTAAGCTGCAATTTTCTGGTTTGCGCAATGACATGTCGGGCCAATCTATCGGGCCTCGAAGCCAATCTATACCAGCCATTTTGTTTGTTTCCCAACTATTGGGAATTGCCACATTTTTAATTTTTGCCATTTTATAGGCTACTTGGCGGCAATCCCGAGTGGTAAGACGATAAAAATTTAAGCGCATTTTTTTAAATGGTCACGTAAAATATTTTTCTGAGGGAATAATTTGGTATCAGGCGAACAAGATTTTCTTTTCCGTAATACCCTTGTAGAGGAGAAAAAGCAATGTAGTGCTCTTTGGCTGCTTGCCTGATGCTTGTTCCGGCTTTGATAGGCTTCTAATGCCTTTTGCATGTCATCCTCATTGTGAATACCTATTTTCCGTTTCTTTTTTTGTTAAGAAAAAATTGGCTACTCCTTTATAAAAGTGACTTATTACGGTTATGCCTATGAAAATGATGTGCATCGCCTTAACAACAAGTAGGTACACAGTGAGTCGCGATCAAGTGTGTGCACAGTTGATCAGACCTACCGTTGACCATAGGCCTAATTTAAATAGAAACAATAAATAACGTGTTAAAAATAAATAGCTAGTCAATTATAAATGTGTTATATTACAGCATACTAACAAAGTCAAAGTGTGGTTATACAAATTAATCGATATTTATTGGAAGTTAGGTTATAAACAAAATGACAACTCACATTTCAAAATATTTTAACAGCATCACAACAAAGTGGGGTGCCGTACGTCGTCTAATTAGCACGGCCACGCGGATCTAGCAGAAAGGGTATTGCATGTGGGGGGGGGAGGGGGGCATTTTATGAGCGATTATGTAGTATTGGTTTCATCAATATGTGCATGACCCACTGTACCCAAATGGTCCACCGTTTACCCGGTTACCTACACACGACAGTGTTTGTTGTACTTTTGATTGTAACCGTTTAAGTAAATGCTTAAGTCTTAGTAAACCCTTTGTTAACTATTTTTAACTAAACGTTAAAAATGAAATCGCCTATCTATTGACTTCTGTAATAAGTATCACGACGAAATCTAAAGATACCGTTAAATGACTCATAACCAGTTAATTTCAAGTGAATACAATCAGCTAATAGTTAATACAAACAAACTTAAATTATGACAATTATCACCTCGAATCGAAAAGAAAAAGCTATTTTGAGATATTTTCCAGACTTATGAAAGCACCTACGACATTCAAGATGAAGAACGCATAGTGGGAGGTCATAACGCACAACAAAATGAGTGGCCGTGGATCGTAGCGTTATTCAATGCTGGACGTCAATTTTGTGGAGGTTCTCTCATGGACGATACGCATGTCCTCTCGGCAGCACATTGTGTAGCTCAGTAAGTGCCAGAAACATACCTTACTATTTATTATAGGTACCATTTTAGGTACTAGAAAAAATAGATGTAGGCGGTGGTGTAAACCGGTGGGTAGATCAGAAGAATCAGATAAGAATACGAAAAAAGTTAGATACGTGACGAGACGAGCCAAACTCAAGAATCATCAGTTCAATCATCATTCGAATCATGATTTTTGAGTTTTTATTTACGAGGGAGGCTATGCTATTGCTTAGCCTGACATAAGAGGAACATAAACAACTTCTAGGAACTCTGGTTAGCAGAGTGCCTATAGGTACAATTGGAATCTTTATAAAACCGACCTAGATAACCAGTCAGATAACCAGAGATGTGCAAGGATATAAAGGGTAGAGTTCAGTGGCGAATTTACAAGCAGACTGAGTAGGCTGGAGCCTAGGGCGGCAAATTTGGACCAAATATTTTTTTTACTTACATAAATGAAATAAAAAACATTATTCGATACATGGAGAAAATAAGCCTTGAAAATTTTACAAAAAGCAACAATATTTTGGTACTAAACTCCAACATGTGTAGGTATTTGAAAAATTCATAAACGCTTCGTGAAATGTACCTTCGTAAATATAAATATTTTAAATATTCCAATAGCGGTCTAATATTACAATTAAGTAATTTTGACTAACTTTTTATTAGTCATCACTCAGGGATTCCGGGCCGCCCGGTTCGCCGGCGGAGAAAGATCTATGATGACTGCAATGTGGTTCCCACGCTTTGACGAACAGGCTGGGCAGATTACCTGGGCGATACCCCATTCACTCCTAGTGACAAATTGCAGGTACTTCCCGAAGCAGCCGTGCCTAGAAATGCCTTTCGTCAGTCGGAAGGAAAGGGTCCCGTGCTGACGCCCTACCCCCTCGATGATGACACGGTGGAGCGCCTCCACAGCGGCAAAGCCCGCACTTGGAGCCTGCAGCGGGGACAACCAACGAGCCAGCGTGGCTCGTTGGCTCGGCCACTTGCGTACCACTTCGAGCGGAGGCTGACTGCCGCTACCCGACCAGAACTCAGCCGAAGTATATCAGTAGACGATATACTTCGGCAAGAACTTTCGCCTTTAAATTTCACAGCCGACATGCCACCGACAGGTGGTATCCGAGGGGATTGCCGCACGCAACGCGCACACCACATTCGTAGACATGGTGCGGTAACCGCGTATGGTTCTAACCGCCAATACCCTCTGAGGTCGCCATAGACGCGCCCTACTCTGGGCCGTCAGAGCCACGGTACACACCGGTCCACTGTACAGTGCCATAATGACATTGACCGGACAACCCCCCGTGTACAGCCGTCTTGTCGCAACGCTGGGCCCACCGTTAAGGACCAGGTCCAGATACTTCTACTTCGCGATTGAGGCGCCAGGGGTGGACTACGACGAGGCCCATGAAATAAGAGGGCCTCCGTCTAATACAGGGCCACCCGTAAGTCCAGCGTCAGCGCCAGCGCCGGGGGAGAGTCTCCCCCAAGGCCCCAGTCGTACCCTATGTTCCACAGAAATGTTCCAAGAACACTGAACACTGCACGACATGGGTCGACGACTCAGATATCCATCTTGGACCTCGTACATGACGGTACGCTCCTCTAAATAGTCTGCCAGTAGCCGCCTCAAGCCTGCCGAATTGGGAGTCTGACAGATTAAGGCTCAAGGCACAGAGGTGCCGGACGATGCGGGCAGGCAGAACCCTCTCAAACACAGAACAGATCCGTAGAACAGCCGCCCCTACCTCCGCATCCGTAACGAGTGGCACATCATCAATGTTCTCCCCGTCGTTTTCAGCCAAGGATGCTATCCACGGGGTGTGTGCTCCACTCATTGTGGGAAAAGGCCATCAGCCACTTTCTACAGGAAGCTGAGCTGTAGAGTAAGTGAAACAGGGGGCCCGATGAGCGGAGTTTTTGTCGCACAGCGCGATAAGGGCGGATGACCCACGATTGAGACCCTCCATCATCTCCTTTCGGTGTGGACAATTCTGAACTAGGGTATTAAATTTATGGTCCGGACGTCTTAGTAACAGCTGTTTCCGGATCACTTCTATATCTCCTTAAGCACAGAATGGCCCTCCATATGATTTTAGTTGGTTCGATTCAGACACACCGGCCCGCCGCAAATTCCGATGCGGTGACAGCGCGACAGGAGGGGGGGGGTCGCCACATTACGTGTATAGGGTATTGAATTGTAGAGGTTAGTAGGGGTAGCAAAAATTTAATAGCATACTGGTGGAGAATGTGTAAATCCGTCCCTGCTAGATTTAGATAAGTCAGTCGAGGACAGTGTGTTTTGTAGTCATATTTTCGGAGTCAGTAGATATTTGTGTTAGTAGACATAATCTAAGTATAATATGGTTAGACCTAACTTATGTAGCCATTTTACCTATTTTCAGCATGACATCATGGGATGTGGCGCGTCTGACAGCTAAATTGGGAGACCATAACATTAAAACGAATGCAGAAACTCAACACATTGAGAGGAAAATCAAGAGAGTAGTTAGGCACAGAGGATTTGATATGCGGACTCTGGTAAGGAATACACCTACATAAAATTCCTTTGAAGAAACTAGATATTTTTATTTCAATTTTGTTCAAGGACTTTTTCAATCCGTTGTTAAATAATATGAAACTATTGATAGGTAATTCTCTCTTAGGTATGAGCTACCTGCGTCGATGACAACTGCGTCAATGTGTGACAAAAATAGAATAACCAGACAGGGCTTTGTTATCAAATCAAGCATATATTATACCATAGTAAAAAAATGTTTATCTCTTCCAGTACAATGATGTTGCGGTTCTTACACTTGATCAACCAGTGACATTTACGAAGAACGTTCGCCCTATTTGTTTACCTGTCGGTGGACGGTCTACATACCAGGGCAACATAGGAACGGTCATCGGATGGGGAAGCTTGAGAGAGAGTTAGCATCTTTCATTTGACTTATGATTAAGTTTATCCATAGAATTATTTGCACTGAGAACTCATCATCATAGCAACCAGCAACAATTCATGAATCTTATGTCCCGGAATCAAAATACAATCTCGGTAGTAAACTATATACTGCAGTACTACATAATAGTATCTATATGGAATACGCATAACCGTTGCGGTTACGGTTCACAGCTAACAGCTCAAAATCTTGGTTTTGGTATTTGATAATACAAGATTTTCATGTCCGTAACGACCGGATTCACTTTCTCGTAGTAAATATTCATACGCATAAGATACCTTAAAATCGTAGGGCCGTATGAATTTACTTTGAGCTCTCTTTAACATTCCGGATTCTTGGTGTTCTTTGTGTCCGTTATATGTCCGGGACACAGGATATATTCCTAGTGCTGGAATTGTCTTTGGTTAGGGATAGCTTTGTGTTATTTTCGTTTAGAGATAACGGTTAATAGCTAGGTACACATTTCAGGTGGACCTCAGCCATCGGTCCTTCAAGAAGTGTCAATTCCGATTTGGTCGAACTACGAGTGCAAATTGAAATATGGAAATGCTGCCCCCGGAGGTATCGTAGACCATATGCTTTGCGCTGGCAAGGCAAGCATGGACTCATGCAGTGTAAGTATTAAAAGTTCTATAAGATTTATTTCTGTTGGTCTAGTTGGAGATGGGACCCAGAAAAAATAATTTAACAAAAACAACAAAATTACATAATAGCAAAGCATGCATAGGTTACTCACAGACTCGATAACTAAGTATATTTATCAACATATCATAATTGGCTACGGTTATTTGGCATTTTGTGTAGGTATATACTACATTTTTATACTCATAAATATCTGAATATTTAAAATTTTGATCATTTGGGTAAAAGGCAAGACTAAATGTATTAATTGAAAACAGTTCAAGATTTAGTAGCAGTAAATCATTAATTTGAGTTCATTTTAAAACCAGGGCGACAGCGGTGGACCACTGATGGTGAATGAAAATGGCCGCTGGACACAAGTGGGGATTGTATCGTGGGGTATCGGATGCGGCAAGGGCCAATACCCCGGTGTTTACACCCGCGTCACTTACTTCATGCCTTGGATTACAAAGAATTCCAAGTAGACAAATATTATTAATTGAACTTAAATTTAATGAACAAAATTTTGATTTAATTTTAACAATTATTCCAAGAATAATTCAAGGATCAATTCTATTGAGAAAAACAACTAAACGAATCTTGCTTTTCTCAATTAATTGCTTTCTCACTCTTAAGTTTATGGAAATTGTGCCAATTTAGGTTAAGGCTCCTTATTAAATAAAAAAAAAGAGATTTCTGATATTGTTATTTATTTAAAATCCTAAAATACTCACCTGATTAAAAACTAACTATCACATAATAACAATACATTAATACCTTATTATTTTAGTTAAATAGCATACAGTTCTCAAATCAGTCTTTAAATAGGGATTAAAATAGGAATATTAGTACATAATTGTAAATATTGAAAATCTACTGAGAATGTAAAATGGAAATGCATCATAGAATAGATTTTACACAATAAAATAAGATTAAATAATTACTGTTTTACAGTTTAGGCTGCATAATTCTGTTTATATATCAAAATTAGACACATGTAGCTGTTGGAGTATGTTGCGTGCTGAAACAAAAGGATACATTTAACGGCAAGTTAAAATAAATCAATAAAATGTCTATTAACTAATTTACTTAGTACAAAAAGTAAATAAACATACAGCAAAAAAGCATAGGAAGTTATCAATCATGAACTTAATCTCTAAAAAAGGAAAGGCAATATTTGTACTACACAACTATACCACAAAGGGCCTGGCTAAAAACCTGTAGTCTGTCATGTTTGTGGTAATATCATTAAAAATTAAACAAAAAATTTACACAAAATTGTATCTATTGTTATGTGGTACATAATTAGTCGCCAGGATGTGAACTCGTCACGGTCGTTTTGCGCTAGAATCAGTTAAATTATATGAAAATAAAAATAACAACTAACCTTGAAAATAGCCAGTATCATGCACATCGGTCAGTGTAGGAACAAAAGGTGGTTCAACATTTAACTGGTTATTCCAGTCAATGTTGCGGAATAGTTCCATGGCTTGCACTGCGCTGGCCGACGGCCGATCGCTCGGCTCCATCGTCAACAAAGACTCAATCGCACTCACAGCTTCTGTAGACAAGGCTTCATCGTCTTCCGGCCACTCAATATCTGCCGAATATAATAAGCATTGGATATTGTAAACAAAGTAAATCGTTTCGACAAGTTGAAGATAGAATAAAGCTGTCGTGAGTTGTATATATTTTTTAGACACACGTGTGAAATGATACATATTTTATGAATACCGAAGACAGTGTTCAAGATCTGTTTCGTGAACAAAGCATGAGAAACGGTTCCCTTTGTGGTTCTTTACAGAGCTATACATTACACTTACATACGTCTTGAACAATAAGTTGCAACTATTGAGTAATAAGCATTTATTTGCATTTCATTGCCTATAAAGACAACTACTACACTTTACAAATTAAAAAATTACTAATAACTTCAAGGATTTTTCTTCTAAAAGTAAAGTGCTACAACACTTTGATTGGTGAACAAAATTTCTTACTTCGAGCTAATATATTATTGAAAACAGCTTGAGGAGTTTCATCGTTGAAAGGTGGAACACCAGTCATAAACTCGTAGAGGCACACACCCAGTGCCCACCAATCCACTGCAGGGCCATGTCCTTGCCTGGAAAATAAACAGTTTCAATAATTATTTTGAAATATCTTTTTGTTAGCTTCACTTGGAACTAAGTATAAAAACAAATTTTAGACGTTAAATTTAACGTCTCAATGTCGTATCTTAATTAAACATTTTATGTATTAGTAGTAACAAATACAATTTGGCGTTACAAAAAACAAATACAGTTTGGCGTCCAGGAGCTGATCTGAAGAGCATGAGGCGAATAGTGGAATACTTCAGTAAATCTCACGAGTCTGGTCAGACAGGAGACGAACAGATTAAGCTGGCTAACGATGGTCGAATTGTGAAGCTAGAATGTGGATTGTTAAACTCTTTTCTACTCTTTAACTAATAGTAATAATTATTATGCCATTAAAGCGTTTTTCTTTAATTTACTAAACCTCTATGTCTATTAAAATTGTACAGGTCCATCTTCTTAAGCATAGCAATAAGCATTCAAATATTAAATGAACTCGGTGTGATTGTTAACTATTTATCTCTTATAATTAGTCGTCTTCTTGGATTTTCGACTTACTGGGCGATATCTTATTCGTTTGTAAATTATATTGTTTCAACTCGCTAATCGTTAAAATAGGTAAATATGTCATAGATTTAGAAGTAGCATTTTTTTTAGGTACGAGACTAATCCCTGCCACAAGCCCACCACTGTGACTTCTGTACACCAGGATCAACAGCAGTGACCCACGAACACACCGAGTTATGACACTCGGAAGGTCCCAGGAAAAAAATAAACTGACTTGGGACTCGCAACAAAATAATAGGAGTTGGAAATATTTAGGAGGTTATTAGGAAAATAAAGTTACAAGATTCAAATAGCATTAAGGAAACGTATGAATAAAATATATTTAATACTTACCTCAATAGTAACTCTGGCGCTAAATAGTCAGGTGTACCCAAAATCCTTTGATCAGATATCAGGTTTCCTCTTCTTACGCTTTTTGGTGTCCTGTAAGGTGTATGAGCTGTAGCTATTGGCGTCTTACACAATTCTGTTGGAGATATACTCCCTTCCCCCTAAAACAAACAACATAATCCATACTAATATTATAAATGCAAAAGTGTGTTTGTCTGTCTTTCAGTCTGTCTGTTACCTCTTCACGTTTAAACCACTGAACCGTTAGTCCGAGTCGAGTAAAGGGTAGTTTTTATCCCAGAAATCATCCTTTAAGACGGTGAAACGGGGGGAGGGGTGGAACTTTGTATGGGGAATCAATAACCGCTAAACCGATTTACATAAAATTTAATATGGAGATACTTTGAGTCTTGAGGAAAAACATAGGCTACTTTTTACCGCGATAACCGACATTTACGCGAGCCCTGGAGCCGCGGTCAAAAGCTAGTATTGTATAAATAACCTCGCCTCCTACACTATCCCAAAGACCTATAGTTTACTGACCTTGCTTAATCTTCTTGACGGAAATATTTCCAGACTAGTTGATATGTGTTTACCAAACATGAACATTTTTTCCTTAGTCCCTGACGCAGGCTGGTCATCTTTAGGCAGATTGAAACGAGTCTCCTTCAGAGTTTTCTTGGTTTCTGATCCATTTGAATTCGACACTGGTGTTGAAAATATAACCCCCACGTTGAAATGGTGACTGTCGTTTTGTGACACCCAGCTGTATAGAAAACAGAAGATAGAATGGCACAGCAATTAGTAAGAAGTAGAACGCAAGATACAAATAATATTTAGTCACAATGCACGAAATTACAAAATCATTTTTTTTTATAATATGGTCGCTAAAATAGAGTTTTATTAAAATAGAGTTAATTAATTATACTTACCGTTTTTTCAATACACCTTTAATAGGATTCTTGCGTTTATCAGGGGTCGGGTGTATGGATATACGCTTAGGCGTATTTTGACTAAGTTCTAATGCCATTATTTCTTGTGTTAAACCACTGTGGTTTTCCTTTGATTCTGCTAAACTTGCCACGCCCGTAGGTGTTTCGCCTTCGCAATCCAATATTCGTTTTCTTTTTTTAGCCCGAAAGCTGCAAGAAAACGTACCTGAATTATAAGATATAATTTTTTATCCTTATTTTCTCATTTGTTAAAATAACTCAAGAGTATTATTCTGGCCGAAGATAAGTAGCTACCATAAGTGCCGCCGAAGGCAGAGTGCCATTTTAGTCTCTCATAAATGAAAGGAGGCACTGGGAACTAAGTCAGAAGTAACGTTTTGATTTTCTAATTGTTTTTTACAACTTTAAGGGAGTGCAGCCATTGTGTGTGTGTGTGTGTGTGTATCTGATGTAAAATTGAAAGTTTTATAAAACTGATTACTGAACTTAAACTGTACTGTAAAGGGAAGGAAGTGAAGGGAAGCAAGGAAGCTAATAATCATTTTATTTATGTACCTAGGTATTCTCTTGAGGGAATTTCCTCTACAAAGTGGAGAAGTAGACTGATCATGTTGTGATCCCAATGAAGATTCACCTACTGAAGAACTGCTTGGGTCTGTTGATTTGTTGCTTTTGGAACTGTTCTTTGAACTCTCACAGGTGTGGTAGGAGCCGGAGTCTTGAGACTAGAAAAAACATATTACAGTGAATCAACAATAGTATCAACAATATAAATAGATAAATCAGTGATTATGAACGGAATAAAGGAACGCCAAGTTGGGGCAGTTGGAATTCAGATAACCATTAGTTGAAGGTAAATAGCATTGAAAATCTAAATTGAACTTACATCTTCAAAGTTTATACTTTCAGCACTTATGAATGGATGTATACCAGACATTTGAGATTGTTCCAATATTGGTGTGGTTTCTAGCGCACTTACGCCATCAAATAAACCTCTCAGTTTGCCTGTAACAAATACTGACACTGAACACATTCCATATACGGTAGGTGTAGATATTATTTTATAGCCTTCATTTCCAACTATTTTCTGCAACCAAATTATAGCATATAATTATATATTCTCCAGGGTTTAAGATAAAGCTTGGGAATACAATTGATATCACAGACATTGCAAGCATTTATAGGCGTCAATTCACGATTACAATATTGTACACTCTACTTTTAGATTAATGTAAAATGGTAATGTAACTTGTAAACAGAAAAGAAAAAAAAAATACTTGCAGTTTACAATAACACAAGAAGTTTGCAGAAGTTGATGTTTGGAACTTGTAACAAACAATTAATAAATCATATTTCTGTGTGCAGTGGGGCAAGGTGGGGCGCTTGTCCCTCTATCTTAGCTTACACCTGTTTTTTTTACGTAATGAAACATTTAAAACATTTCATGAAGTACAGGTTTCATTGCAATACCGAAATTTGGCAGAACAACTATGATGACATAAAAAATTCGTTATTCTGCATGGAAGAAGATAAGCTAAAATTGAACAAATAAATGAAATATTTGGTGACGCAACATTCAATGGCCCCCTCCATTCGTCGAAGTGCCCGGATCCCTCATATTTCAGGCGCAGAGTGGCACACCATGTGGTTTTAATCGGTACGATGCCGACTCACAGCCCCATCGCAAAATCGCGGTTGGCTGACCGCCTAAAGGGATTTCCACACGTAAAACAAAGCAGTAATGCTAATACAACTGAAACAAAAGCAATAATTTACGCTTTACTAAGTGATAAGAAAACCGAAACGTGTGAAGCTCTTTTCAATCCCTATATTAAAATCTCGTAAGGCCAATCCCGTGCGTAGAAACGGCGGTATAAGCTACCGTCGGGACTGCGGGCCTCCAGCGAGTGGGGACCTTTGGTGCTGATTAATAACTGCGGTAGGGGATATGTAGGCGGCCTGATCGCAACGAAATGCGATGGGGCCACAACATGAAGTGATAGGCGGGGGGACTTGAAATCACATGGTCCAGGTCCTTCCCAAAGTACCTGAGGCCTTCCGACGGGTCAATTTTATGTGGTAACATCACACACTTCTTTTTTTTACGCAGGGAGTGCTTTTAGGCAGGCATTTTTTACAGGCAGGCATTTTTTACAGGCATGCACTCCGTAGGGGAGACGGAAAGCGTGCGTGGAACTCCCGGAGAACCGTTCTACCCACTAAACCTCGCAGCAGGCTACCTCGGCAGTCAAAAGAAGTTACAGGAAGGCATCGGCGGCTTCTTGAGTTCTCTCTGCCGTACCCCATGTCTGAGGCACATCCCGGGGCGAACGTGGTCACCTCCGGGCAGGCTTACATAGTAAGAGGCGCAACAGCGCCCCGCCTTAGACGACACCCCCGACCGCTCCGGGATGTCACCTATTTCGGGTTGTTTGCAGCTGTCACATCGCCCCAAGATGTGGCCGCAGCGATCCTTTAGGGGAGCTAGGGACCTCTGCCCCCTTCGCCGCCTCCTTCTAGCGGGATCAGCCCTTTCAATACTGGCGATTTCGTCTGATCTGTCCGACTAGGACTCAGGATTCGAAGCTCAGACTCTCATGCAGGGCAGTCAGGGCAGCTTGTGTTGAGAGGAGTCCCGGTCGGACCCTCAGTTCTGGCATTGTGCCGGGACTTCCCGTCTGATTCGATTCGTTTCAAATGCTCACCGAAGCAACCGTGCACGGTGAGTATCTGAGTCAATCGGTAAATGATACAGTCGTTCCCCACTACCCACGTTTTAAAGCTCGGTAGAATGACTTCGATGGCGCGTTGGCTAGTACAGCCCTGAATTTTGCCACGTCTCGCCGTAGCCTTCCGGGCTCATGATCTGGCGTGGGCTCTTCACCATTCCGACCGACAGAGCGAACTTGGTCGTAGACCATAGCATCCATGTCGGCCAGAACGTCAAAGGGCGGAAATCACGTGAGGACAGTCACCGCCTCATACGAGATCGAACGCCATCAGCCTCTGTAGTGAAGCCTTACAGCGGTAGGCACCCGCCAGGTCATTAGACCAGACTGCTGCTTCATAGTGGGCCCTGGATCGCACGACGCCCATGTAGAGGCGGCGATCTTCTTCCTGTGGTCCCCCGAGATTGGGCAGCAAGCGATTCAGCACACCTGCGACCGATCGCATTCGGGGAACTCATCGTCCGAAATTCTCTTTGAAGCTCCACCGACTAGCTACTATAAGGCCCAGGAACTTCATGTACCGACTCACCTGGACTTCAGCGCCACCTATAGACTGGTGTGAAGGACCGCATCGTATGCAAGGTTCGACATCAAAATCTGCGTCTCCTGGGAGATCTAGATCCAAAAAGTGTCCAACCCGTCACCAAAAAAAAATGTGCAGTAAGTTCCAATCATTTACCGATCTACTTTTCTTAATTTTGCCCCACCCCTAAGTAAATGATGGGTACGCCCATGTCTGTGTGTATGATTTCTTACAATTAATTAGTTATAAATGATTTGGAGGCATAAAATAGTTGGTGTCATGGGCCCGTAATAATAACATCATACAAGTCTCCTCAAGTTCATCAAGAAGGTTCTCACAGGCATCTGTTGACATGACTGACACTGAATTATGAGTACTATCTCCCCCTCCAGAGCCAAAAGACAGGTGTGATGTGAGTGACAGCAGTTGTCCTGGAGTTCTTAAATTTAAACTAGGAGTTCGGTTCACAAAGTCTGATATCTCGAGATCTGAAACAGTAGAATAAATGTAGTCAAGCTGTAGAAAACACTAGAATCATCAGTATTTATAAATATATTTTTATAAACAACAATTACAATGCAACAAAATAAATAGATTTCTGACTGAACAAATATGCTTCTAGTTAATTGGATTCCATTATATCACTTCAATATTCGCTGTAATGGAATAACCTGTCTGGTAATATATACCACTGGGTCATCACCTCATTATGTCATCACACAACAAGACCACGAAAAAAGATACTTGTATTGTGATAAAAAATAGAAAGTAATTTTGCAACATTGTAATTTACAATTAAATTTATTTTTTAATTAATTATTGATTAAAAAAAATGTAAATACCACATTCGCTGGTCAGATTAGATATAAATAATCTATCCATAGTAAGAAAATAAAACAAAATTTCAATCATCTAAGTCTAAAATATTTAATTGAAAACTTTACTCTTAGTAACTGCAGGAAATGTCAAGTAATAATTGCACTTAAATACTACCTCTGTGAACTTCAATCTTTGATAAACCAAAATCTGTAAGCTTGACATGACCACTCCTGGATATCAGCATATTATCTGGTTTCAAATCTCTATGCACTATATTATGTTTGTGCAAATAGTCTAATGCAAGGGTAACCTCTGCCACATAGAATACTGCCATTGACTCTTCTAAGAAACCGTAAACACCAAGAAGGGATTTTAAATCTCCACCAACCATATACTCCATGACCTATAAAAATGTGAAGGTTTATAACATATAGTGTACATACTGTCATCACACATTTATATTGAAAAGTTGATCAATTTAGCCATTTCATTCTTGACAGGATTAATTGATTGATGCATGAATACCCAAACCTATAGGGCTAGACAATCCAATAACATTCATTGGCTATTACAACGTAACTCTTTTAAGTTTTTGAAATAGACATGTTAACAAAGTATGTATGTACGTTTTTATATGTGTGTATGTTTTTATATGGGCTTATATACATATTTAAGGTCATATAAAAACATGCATATATATACAGGTTTAAGGGTGTAAGTTGACCTAGATACTTTAGGGGGTTGTAGTTGCCATCTTTTCTGATAGATTTTATTTTGAAATAACATATATTATCCCAAACCTAACCATTTTCAAGATATTGGACTTCAAAGATTTTTTTTTAAATCCCCGAAAATTTGCTTAATACAGTTTTTTTAGAACTTATATCCTTTCTTTTATGCTTTTTTTCATTGTTTTTGTGTTGTTGATAAATTGTTTTATAATTTCAATTACGAAAATTGTAGCTGACTTAACAATCTGGGCCGAAATAGATGGCTATAGCAAAAAGAAATAAATTTGTAAAAAAAAATTCTTTTAAAAAAATGTATGACAGTTAAACTGCAGATTTGTTAAAAAACATGTATGTATTCTCAGCTATCTAACAAGGTACAATAGTTTAGGATAGTATCAAAATTCATAGAAAAAAACTTAGATGAAAGACCAGGTGTTAAGATTTAGCGTACAACCCGGTAGTACCTAGTTGAAAACTGCTTCTATTTTTGGACTGTTTTGTTTTCTATTCGTGTCTAACTATTGCTAAGTGAACTTTGATTTATGCTTCTGATACTGTTGAAGATGATGATATATACGAACAAGGAATTTGTTAATATTTTGATTTCTAACGGATACAGCCAATGCGTAATCAATGCCTTTATGTATATATTACAATTACTTTTTTGGCAGTTAGAATTGAAAATAATACCAAAACAAACAAACAAACTTTTATCAAATTGGTTAGTATTGGACAAAACGTTTCTCAGTGGCTGCCAATCAGTATAAATACAGTGGTAACAGTGTGTTATACATATCACCAATCTTACTCTAAATCCAGCAGTACGACAGGGTTGATTACAAAAAAAAAAGAACAACTGCTTATGCTCTTTATTTAATACTTCCTGCAAATACATTGGCATAAGGTGGACTTAATGCCATAGGCATTTTCTTCCAGTCAAACTTTGGGTGATGCAGATCTGTGTGTGGAAGGATATAGGAATAATGGAATGATTGCTATTGATAATAGCATCAATTTTTATCACTAAGAGTAAGAAATTTAGTAAATGTGTCATCATCATCAACAGTTCACGCTGGCCAGACGGGTTGGTATAGGGCTTGTGTCAAGTTTTCCTTCTCTTTGCAGTGCTGTCGTCCTGCGTAATTTGCTCCATTTTTCAGTTTGCCATTACGACACCCGCGGGATTATATATATTATATCACAATTTAAATCTTACCAAGTAAATTGACGAAGTTGACTGTAGTGAATAGAACAGATGAACACAGAAAGGACTTCTTGACAAAGCTAGAGCATTTCTTTCGTTTACAACTTGCGTTACCATGTTTTTATTGATCATTTCAGACTTTTTCATTACTTTGATTGCATACAATTGATCCTTATTACTTTTTTTGTGCGCAAGAAATACTTTACCAAAAGCACCACGACTTATGGGCTTTATAATAGTAAAATCATTTATGTCTGGTGGCTGAAAATAAAACGGTAAAATATACAGAGAAACCATATGATTTCAATTGTGAACAGTTGGCTTCTATAAAATATATGTTACCTTTGTTATAACTTGGTCATTAATAGAATTGATTTTATCTAAAATGGTATGGCAGACCGCTTCATCTTCCAGCTTTAGGTCATTTGAAGCCATTATAACGATAACTCGGTGATAATTCACAAATATAATACACACATTTCGCAAACAATTCAAACTCAACGTTACGATTTACGAACTTACGACATTAGACAATGACAATTTAAACACGCCTGACAAATGTCAACTATGACAGTAGATTTGGCATTTACTGATGGGTTACCACATCTCTGATCGTGAACACCAAAGATAAAGTTATCTATGGTGAACACGTACTATTGAAACGCGCCTAGCGCAATGATACAACTTGATATATCACGTGCACCGTACACACTACCAACCTACGATGATACTACTGACAAAGCGCCTAAGCTATTTCTGACATTTAATCCAGTCATTGTCTTAGTCTGGTCCTTCGATATGAAACTATTACCTTTTACGATTTAAATCTCATTCGTAGGAATTTTACACAGTATACCTACTTATTGAATAAGTAAATTAAAGTAGATACATAAGTAAAATGAACTATATAGTGTACTAGTTTGTGCCCGCGTGTATGTCGGTTATCGCGGTATAAAGCAGCCTATGTTACTCGCTGACAATGTAGCTTTACATTCGTGAAAGAATTTTTAAAATCGGTTTAGTGGTTTAGGCGTAAAAGCGTAGCAAACCAACAAACTTACTTTTACAAATAATATGAGTATGGAAGAAGCGATTTATTGGATATTCGACCGAATGGCGTAGCGGTTTGTGTAACGGACTGCTATTTGAGTTCGATTCCCGCTCAAGTCAAACATTTGTGTGCATGAACATTTATTTAATGTTTGATTTGGTCTGGGTGTTTCTATGTGTAATATGTATGTATTTACAAAAAAAAAGTATACATGTATTTATATCAGTTGTCTAGTACCCATAGTACAAGCTCTGCTTAGTTTGGGACTAGATGGCGTTGTGTGAATGTAGTAAAATATATTAATATATATATTATTATTATTATTGTTTCATGTCAGCTTGATAATATAAAGTGAAGCAGACAGAATGAATTTTTGGTATCTTATATTCTTGTGTGAAACAATTTCTAACGGTTTTGGCTTCTTCGATTAGAATGTGCTTTAAGTGTGCGTGTTCAGTATTCTGGGCTGGGTCTAGGTCGTACGATTCCATAAGGTAATCTAATTAGAAATTGTGGTGAACACATAAAAAATTCATAATAAAAAGTAAACAGCTGGTTCTGTCCTTGGTAACAACGTTCAATTAGTTTTATTAGATCTACCAAAATCTCGGGGGTTTAAAAATGTGATTATCATATGACAACTGTCTTGTTAAAGATTTGTCATTCCTGTCATTCCATTTCAATGTTTTCATTTCTTCTTATTATATAGTACACCCCATATGACTATGCGTCAACGAAGTTCTCGCGAGAAGTGCATCAAAATGATATTTTAGGTATCAGAGGGCTAATTTCTGCGCATTGGAAAGAGACGGGGGTGGGCATTAGGCCCCACCGACGCGTTACACCACTGCAAGGTTAGTAGTGCATCTCGCTCTATCACATTAATTGACTTATCTGCTTCGCTCTTACGTACCGTTGTGAACATAATTGTAAAAAAAAACTGTTAATATTGTTATTTGCTTTGTTTATGTTTGTAATTGTTTCGTTTTTGTTTTTGTTTGTGAGTTGATTTCTTACTTTTAAAACTCCGATTTACTGAGAACTACTTCAGATTATTAGAGATAATATTTTAGTAATTTGCCACTTTAATAGACTAAGTTTTGAACATAATTATAGAACTATCTATACTTTAATAACGTATTCCGTAGTTATTACCAAGAGCGTTAAATGTATAATACTATAGTATTTAAAATATTAACGGGATCGTTCGGAAATAGATACACGTGTACATTATAAATTAGTTACAATTCTGAATTAAATAAATAGAATTTTAATATTACTTGTTTGTAGACTAATAATTCACACAAAAATATATAAAATGTTTCTAGGCTCAGTACGTTTGTTTGCGAGTGTACCTGCGCAACATTTGGTTTGCAGCCAACTTCATTGACGCAGAGTTTTGTGGCGCGGTAATATTTGTATGAAAAAATTGAAAAGGTCACCTCGGTCTCGGGTTTTTACGGACTACTTAAACATAAATTTTAAATGTAGTAAATGCCAATTATTATGGATAAATTTGATGAATATTAAACTAAAAAAAAGCTGTAGAGCATAATAAATTAGATGTAACGAAATGATATACCTACCATATGTAACGTGTTCTTTAAAAGTGTTTGGTAACGTTAATTATCTTAGCAACACTAAGGGTAACCAAAGTATTCTATACCTAACTTAAAGGTGATGCAACTTTAAAGCTAATTGTTGTCGTATTTTTTAAGTTAAATAAAAAAAGAAGGGAAGTTAGCCAAACCATTTGCTCTCCTCTATAGGTAGAACATTGACATCTAAGGACTAATGTGTGGATGATGCTGTGATTCAATAATGAAAATTAATATAAGAAATCAAAAGTTACCCAGATTGACTGTACAATAAAATAGTACTATATAATCAATTATCTATAATCTAATCCACTCCTCGTAGTTTATCTTTAAAGGGGTTTTAGACAATGTCGACTGAATGATTTAATTTACACACAGCAAATCATTAATATAACAAAACATAAGAACATTTCAAGGCAAAATCAAATTCTTTATGAAAACATGTCAGTCTTCCAGTCTGCAATTAGTGACACAATTGGTAAAAGCTTGAACTACCGAAGAACACACCAACGTTTGATGAGGATTATCTTCATAGCATTTTAAAATCTGTGAAAGTTATCGAAAATATATGTTAGGTAGGTACTCTTTATTAGTTAGTAACAGTCATCCTGGGTAAACTTAAAATAAATGTTTCTAATTTTCATTCCTTAAATACTAAAAATTCTCGTTATAATAATGAAATTTGTTGATACCAGATATACCTAGTGAATATAATTTATGAGATCTCTGGGAAAGTTTCGATGTAGGAATCCTTTGAAAAATAAAATTAAAACAATAACGTAGGGAGATAACAATTCGACATTAGTATTTTGGTATGGCATGTTTTATTATTATTTCTTAATCATTTTGTTCCACATGATTTCTTTCAAATCCTTAAATAAACTGTAATTTATCTGCCTATTTTCAGTTGATATTATTTTCATGAAAGAGTAGTTCAGAAAGATTAGAAATCGATTGTATTCAATCGAGCGAAGCCATACGTTGAAACAAGTGCTTAGAAAGTTGTTTCTTGCAAATGCAAAACTTTCTGGCGTGATCTCATAAATCTAAAAGTTAATCATAAAACTGTGTTTTAAAACAAATTTAACTGCAAAAATTCTTAGTTTCTTTTACTATTTTGCTTTATGTTAAAAATAAATACCTTCGCTCGCCAATCGAAACATGGTTTGACTTTTTGTAGTTTATCATGTAAAATTTTAGGCGATTCAGACGTGACATTTGCAGCTTCAATCTTTTTGTCATATTCTGATTCTATGATTTTATTAATTTCCTGGTGTTCTTTTTTCAAATAATCCATTCTATGGGACCAATAATCTCCATCGCCTTCTTCTGTTAAATTTGAATATTTTTCCTTGAAAAGCAATTCATTCGATGGTTCCTGAAAATATATAGATAACATTTGAATGAAATAATAATAACTATGCCATGTACAAACTACACTAAACCTTTTGTAATTATTGGAGTATACCGTAGGTAACAATTAAATTAAATTAGTACGCAAATTCTGAATTTCTTACAGATTTATCTTTTATTTCCAAACAATTTAAACATGAGGCCGTTTGGCCTCATGTTTCAATTGTTTGGTACTGCATACGTACGTTTCAAACGTACTTAAGTACGTTTTTGTTTCTATATATATATATATATATATATAGAAACAATATATATTTATCTTTGCTCCTTCCTTGCTTTCACTCCTGTACTATATAGGTAACGGAAAACATATGTTTGAGAAACGAATAGTTATATGAGTAACACCATCGTCAGTCTTTCTACTTCGTACTACACTAATCCAATAAATAAGCCTACAGCAACGACATTAACTTATTCATTTCATTAGATTTGAAGGTTTAGAACCTTCAAAATCTTTTTTAATAAGCTAGTATAGTTTACGCGTGGCAAAATGCAAATAAGAGGTAACATACAGCAGGCAACTCGTTAAAAGCGATAGCGTTTTCCACTTCAATGGAATTTTGGATAACGATTGGTGTTGTTAGAGCACAAGTGTTAGCAAAACTTATACGTCTAGTATCTTTGCTAGTTATAGTCCCCATTTTGTTAATTTTGTATTAAAATAACATCACTTGTTATAATTTATGATGTTACAGTCACGCTTATTCATATTAGCTAACTGAGTTTTATAAATTATTGTTAATTTTACAGTTTACAACCAAATTTGTCAATAATGTTATATCATAAAAGTCAAAATATTTTTTTTACCGAATCAAAGACATTTAGCTAACTTAGCAAAAATTGTAAAAAGGTTTTTCTGAAAATTTCGTGGTCTATAATAGATTTAGTAGTAAAATACGTATCAGTAGTAGCTAGGTGCCTACCTAGCTGGAGGTTAAATTACTTAAATAAATATAATAAACTATTTCCGTAGCTGTGTAAGTAGGTGTGCGAGCCAACCCGTAGGTACATGACAATAGTTTTAGGCAGACAAGTTTTATGCTGACAACGAAGTGCAGCGTGCTCACGCTATGGCTGGCCTCCGCTAGGAGTATAATCTATATGTGTTTTCTGTGTCTCGCACAGTAGTTACAGAGTAGTTAAGTAGTTACACAATTCCGCGCAATCTATCGCCAGTGTTGCCGACCTAGTGGATTGTTCACTAAAACTGGCGGTTTCGACCCCCGGCTAGTGGCAAAACATTGCTGTTAGTGGCTAGTGGTTTTTTATAGTGGTATAATTTTAGAGGACTTAGGAAATGATGTTAAAAGATGAACTGTGAGAACTTTTTGTGTAAGCGAACTTCAAGAATCTTTAATAAAAAAGGAAATGGAGATTATGGATGCTCAGGAAGAGAAGGATTATTAATTTTAGGCGCTGGGATGATGTAGACTTTGTGCTAGAGAGAGGGTAAGGTTCCGAAGACGAGAGAGAAGTCAATAATGTAGGCTATAACTTCAAGGACATAAATCCAGGATAGTAACTATCATCCTACAGCTAAATTTATTACAAAAGATCGTCCTGTTTCGATCGACAAACAGGACGATCTTTTTATGTGAAGGCATCGGAGAAAATTCAAAATTGGCAATATTGGGTCTGGGCAGACTAGTGTCTGACTTTTGGTGTGATGATCCACTAAGTAGCAGAAGAGAAATGAAGATTGATATCATTCAAACCAATGGGCGTTCGAATCTCGGTCTGTTGTTGTCTACCAATGCCCAACGTGTTATGGAACTTCCTCGTACTGGAAGTATTGCACTTTAAAGATGCCCAAGATTTCAAGAATTAGCGACTTCTGCTATTAATCTCTTAAAGCTACCTCATTCTAACACCGATTTTAAGAACCTATTTAGCAGTATGAATGTAATCAAAAACAAGAAGAGGCATAGAATGTGAGAAGTTTTCCGTGTAGTGACGGATTAAGAATACGGAATGTCACTACCCCAATTCATCCCGTGGGTGTCGTAAGAGCCGACTAAGGGCGCAAAACAACGCAGGACACCAGCACTGCAAAAAGCAGGAAAACTTGACCCAAACCCTATACCAACCCGTCTGGCCAACGTGGTATGGCAGGCCAAAACCTCCTTTCTAAGGAGAGGCCTATGTCCAGCAGTGGACTATTAAAGGCTGTTGATGATTATTGATTGATAATGTGAAAAGTAGTACAAATACGCAGTGGTTTGAGACTGGAAGGAAAATGATGCAACGAATATGTCGAATCGTATCAATCTGAAACCGACGATGAAGGTGCTGACAAAAACGATTTATCTGAAGAAGACGAATTTAATTAAAATAAGTCACTGTTGTTGTTGAATATTTTTTTATGTTCCTGATCTTGACTTTTTGATGTACTATCTGCATGTTTATTTTTTGAATGTCAGAATTAGTATCACGTAATAATAAAGAAAACTAATTATTTTGCATACGTAATCAATAAGTTTATTGTTTTCTTTTGTAATAACTAAAAACATGATTATGATTAGTGAAAAATTTAGAGATAGAGATCCCTGGGAAATCGAGGGCAACCCTCAAATTTTATAGATACGGATTATGTATTTCATATATTTTCTAAAGCTATTCTAGGATTTGCGTCTGGTAGTCATTATCTCTTGTTGATGAACTGGTGATTTAAGATACAACTCCTGAACTGTTAGGAGTTGGAGGATAGTTCTTTAAATACTATATGTATGTTTAGACTTTTAGTTGTATTTGTTCATGTCATTCAAGTGAGCTGATGATGGAAGGTAAAACTCCGGTTAGGAGTTACATGATACTTTAAGATGCCGACATAGCGACCTGTAATGTACAGGAAAGAAAAGAAATGTAATGCTGAGGGTTGGATTAGCAACCTCCAGTACATACCTAACTTATCTTAGTGTTCTAATTTAAACATTAATCGTCTTACTCGTTGCTTTTTTTGGTTTTGTGTGGCTCCAAGTTTTAAAGAGCAACACACTCATTATCATAACATTACCTTTTGGAATTTTAAGGTATTGCCCTGCAGTTTATATGCACCGTAACCTCCCAACTGAGAATTAGCAGTAGCGTTTTCCATTCAACATCCCCTTAGCTTTTAGTTGCCTGATAGATTTATCAAGCAACTAAAAGCTGCGGGAATGTTGGACGGGTTAATTGCCATAGCTTTTGATTTTGTGGCAGTAAAGTCGTCATCATCATATATTCTATATATAAATATATAAAATTTATTTAAGTATATAAAAATGTTCTGCATTTCTGGTCATGGTCTAAAGATGGTTTTTATCTATTTTTTGCTACCACAATGTCCGACAGCGAAGCGTGGCAGGTTTTAGCAAGATAAAAACTGAATCTTGTAACTCGCCTGAAACTATTTGATCACGGCGAAGGGCAGGCCATTTAAAAACAAAAACTCCCTACCTAAATACACTAAAGAGCGAAAAATAAACTGAATTATTTTTATTATTATGAAATGTGTCTTTTTCTAACTAATTAAATCAAAAACTTTACCTAGTAACTGTAACTTACCTATTCTCAATAAAATTCTTAATGAAAATATGATATAGTACCTATATAAGATATAATATCACAAAGCAAAAGGAACTTCGTTCCAACCGGGGGTCCATAAACCCCTCACGCCGTTTCTCTATCTCATTTATATTTTATTTTTATCATAAAATATCATTTTTTAAATTCCATTTCTTTCTTGCTTTGCCATTCACCATAAGTATTGCACTAAAACAGAAATCGAGACATCCGTGTGTGAAATGTTTAAATTATTTTTATTATATTATTATTAATTAAGTGAGAAACTGTTTTACTTTGCGTGTATTATATATTATATATTACCATGGAGAAAAGGTACGTGGTGTTAACTCATCGTGATGAACTCTTATAGAGGCATGCGCTAGTTTTCGTTTGGTTCGGGCTTCTCTATCCTACATAGTGTCCATTAGGAATTCTTTCAACTAAATATTTTGTATGATTATTATCAAAACAGAAAAATTGGAAAGTCGATTTTCATTGGTGAAATTTCGATTCACTATTTTAAACAAAAAGAGCGATTTTTTGGCCAGATTCTATATTGATTCTTTGATATTTTAGAGCCATCCCTAGTTGATCACCACATTTTTGTGTCAATTAATGCCATAATTAATTTATTCATGTAAAATTAGTATATAGTTGCTTATAATATGAATATCTGATAAATTATAATGAATATTATGCTAAATAAAAAAGTCAAATACTAATGTTTCTTTTATTACACTGTTCCATAAATATTGCTTTCAGCATTTTATGCACAAGTACAGTGTGTTTCTCGATAGTGATGTCGTTTAGATGTCAATTGTTTTTGCTGAGAAATAATTGACCATCTTGATGAACACTATCGAGAAACGCACTGTACTTGTGCATAAAATGCAATACAAAGTATCTGTTTTGAAATTCCCGCCCTAGCTTCTACTGTCTAGTTTTGGTGGGCGGAGCATAGATGGCGCCGGCCGGTAAGGAAAAATTTCCTCATAAAAATAGTATGGAGTCGTTATTCTTCCCCTTTAGGGGTATGTATGTTCTGTGATTAATGCTGTCAAATCTGCCAATGTTGTGTTGTCTTTCTATGTTCCGGGCTAAATATTATTGTAAAAGAAGAACAGCTCAATAATATGGTTTAACATTAGTATATGATATATTTGAACAAAACGAATTGTTCCTTCTTCGTCTTCAGACAAAAAGCGTCATCAAACTTGTTAAGAGTAATGTTGTAGTGTCTCTATAATATTTTTATGTTTGCATCGCTTGCACCAAGTTTTTATGCATATAGACAGAAGCAAAAATGTCATTATACGACGATCTTGATACGATAAAAGCGCGCACTACTGAAAAGGTAGCAGGCTGGTCTTCTGGTATCAAGCTTTTACAATCACAGTTACAGTTAAAAAAAGCTGCTGTCACTCAACCTAAACGGGAGGCATTACGACGCTCAACACAGGTAAACAACATTTAGTAGATATTATCACTACCTATTGAGAGGTAAAAAAATTCACAGGAAAAAAGAGGCGATTGGTTCACCGACAAGAGCTTGGCTGGGCAATTGAGAGGGAGAGAGATCACTACACTCATCTCTGCACTCTGATGTTGATGGACATTGATTGATAGTTTTGTGAGTGATACTGTTTGACATGTGATATAGTTTTTGTTTTTTGATGGGCTTGTGGATCTTGTGTTTAGCCTGTTTAGTATTCTGACTGCTAAGTCAGGGATTGTATATTTGATTCCCACCCAGGCCAAATATTGTGTGATTAGCACAATCATGTTAGTTATGTCCGGATGTAATTCATCTCAATGTATGTATTTAGAAATATTTAATGAATGTTTATTGAGAAATATATTTGCGCAGTTGATAATATGCTTGTCTTGCCTCCTATTACATAATTATCAACAGCCTTTAATAGTCTATAATAGTATAACTAGTTATAACTTTAAATAAGTAATTAAAAAAAAAGTTTATTATTATTGGTCTGCTTTTACGACACCCACGAGATGGAAAGGACATAAGGATGTTCTTAATCCATATCCACACTGACCTATTACAAAAGTAGAACTTAAATTCTGGTGGATGAAATATAAGTGTTAAACACTTTCATGATATAGATATGAGTGTATGTGTGTATATATGTATACTTTTTAAAGATTTATTTTATTAATGATCTTTGTACCAACAATTTAAAAAAATATAGTGTACCTAAACACAAATGTTTGTGTGCCTGAACATTTAATGTTTGATTTGGTCTGGGTGTTTCTATGTATAATATGTATGTATTTACAGAACAAAACTTTTATTTATATCAGTTGTCTAGTAACCAAAGCACAAGCTCTGCTTAGTTTGGGACTAGATGGTGTTGTGTGATAGTGGTTGAATATTATCTTATATATAAAATTCGAATTCTCCTCCGAAATGGCTGGACCGATTTTTATGAAATTTTGTGTGCTCATCGGGTAGGTCTGACAATCGGCCAACATCTATTTTTCATACCCCTAAATGACAAGAGTGACCCACCCCTATTTTTTTTTTTATATTTCCTAGATATAATGTATATGGCAAAACAATGTTTGCCGGGTCAGCTAGTATTATATGTTGTTGTCTTTGTTTTTATCTTTTTCTCACTTACGTCACAACAGAATTTTTGTATATTTTTACTGTTCTAAAATTGTAGACTCTAATAGATGATTAATATAATATTCTTAGTCTTCTGAATTAGCTTTACATGCTCATCTTGTGCATTCAAAATTTTTTTTTTTTTCCTCAAAATACTTAGTGTTAAAAATTTTACTAGATATATTTCCCTTATTTGAATATTTATATTTATTTGTTTTATTTCTGTGACCATTTTGAACAAAGAGAGGGGACAAAATTATAAATTATCATATGCTTATGTCCATCATGCATAATATTATACTGTAATGGCAACGCTGCTATTCTTTGCAGGTATTAACCCCTGTGATAGATCTGAAAAGTAAGCAAAAAGAAGATGATGAATCAAACAGTCCTAAACAACAAGAAAAAACTCTGACAGCATCATTAAGTGTTCGTGATTTTGATTGGAATGTTGCCAATGAATATGATCCTATGTGGCCTAATGATTACGAAAAAGTAGCCAAAGGTAATGTTTTTTTTATAGCATAGCGATTTTCAAGCTAATTGTAATTTAAGCACAAGTTCAGGGAGGTTAGGCCTCCTGTGACCTCACTTACATGGTGAAAAGCTACAAAAGAATGATACAACACTGGCCGGCCTATATGTGCCCATACCACCTAATAAATAATCATAGAAAGTGATTCTTAGACCACAGAAACAGGATTGGCTCTTCAATAGTAGTAACATCAAACAGAATTTTAGTTAACCAGGCTGGTCAACTGTGATTAGAGATATCATTTTCATTTCAGAAATTCAAGCTAAAAGACTACAACTTGATGGAGACCCCCGAAATGACAGGTCAGAGAGAAAACGTAAGAGCAGATTCGGTGATGACGAGGACATAATTCCTGAAAAAACTCTGGTCCCTATGGTAATACTTACAAAATATTTTACTTATTTAAGTCAATGTTTCTAATTATTTGCCAGTCTTGTAACTTTATTATCTTCTACGTAATTTTTTAATGATTTCCTTGCAGCAACCCGAAGAAGAAGAAGCAGTTGAGATATCTAAACGTTCTGCAGGGGCTGCTATAGCACCACCACCCTCGCTTACAGTGGAAACGCATTCACCTCCGCCACCCCCACAAAACCTTCCAACACCTACTCCAGCATCCACTGGCTTCTCTATTGGTGGTTACGGTGCGAGTTCCGTTGCTGCCAAAATTATGGCAAAATATGGATTCAAGGTACTGGACTTTTGTTTATAAAATGATAACAAATGTTTATTATTCATAAAAGTTGATTTTTATTTTGCAGCACTATACTATTTATTTAGATGTTTTACCTCTTATACCTGTGCAATTGTTGCACTAACCACATTTTATCTGTTTAGAATAGCTCTTCTTCTATATTTTTAGGAAGGACAAGGCTTAGGCAAGAAGGAACAAGGCATGTCAGTAGCACTTCAAGTAGAAAAAACTTCCAAAAGGGGTGGTCGTATTATTCACGAGAAAGATGGTAATGTGATGCCTCCTCCTGGCTTCGCAATGTCTGCTACAACAGCACCAGGTATTTACATTTTTGAACTAATCAAGCCTAAACCCTTTAATGGTTTACTTTTTATACTGACTCTTAGAGCGGTTTCGCCCTACATCCGATACGAATCTGATCCGAAGCCGTGAAAATACATCTAGGAATCTCGGGCTGAATAATATTGCTTTTCGTACTACCGCCGATCTGTGAGCCGTGATTACGGATTTGGAAGGCTGACGGACTGACTTAATTCGTATATTGTTTACGCACTATTGCGATCTCTGATTCCAATCCAAGTAATTCAGGGGTCACCTTTTGGCATACGTCGTTTCAAGCGGAGCGTTCACATCATGAGTCCTTTCGATCGGCGTCAACTTCTGGCAATGCTATTGTACGTAATAACGACACAGAAGAAGTAGGTAAAGAATTGTGGGTGCGTTCATTAAAATAATAGAATGGCTACTTTGGTCCGTAAATAATCTTGTCTGGAATGGAGATTCACGCATAACGGAAAGAAATCGGATGACGGAAGTCGGATCCAGTGCGTAAGCTACCATAGAAATAGGTAGTTCTACGACTACTTCGGACCGTATTTTCATGGATACGCATCGGATTCGTATCGAACGTAGCACGAAACGGCTCTTACTCTAATCTATTTTAGGTAGGTAAACCATTTTTAGGTAGGAGTGCGATAATAACACGAATTAAATAGAGAAGAACTATGTAAGGTTGGGTGCCGAGAGAGAAATTAAAGATGTTGTTAGATCAACGATCAGTTCCAAATTCCAGAAGAGTTAAAAACTTAAAAATGCAGTGTGCATCCATCTCTTAAAGTTTCAAAAATGACACTTAAAAATAATTTTACTTTCCAGATTCTCCTAATGCATCTAATTCCCCACAACTATCCAGACAAGAGCCTTCTATCACTGAGATAATGAAATCTCCGAGTAAAGTAGTTCTATTAAGGGTAAGTATATTCAAAGATACCATAAAAGTAAAAGGTGTTGTTGCAATGTGATAATATTTTTGTTTATATTCCCAAATAAAAACTTGCTTTTTGCATAAAAGTAACACTGTTCAATGTGCGCTTAAACCAAGGACGTCGTATCAGCGTTCATGTCTGCAATGGGCAGTTATACAATTTGATAGAAACATCATTCAATAAACTACATCGATTTTCCTTAGCACTCTTGCCACAATATCTTAAGACAAAGATGTTTGACCAAAGCATCCTGCCATCCACAATCTAAAAGTCGCACAAATTATAAGCTACTAGCTGCTTCCCGCAGCTCCGCCCGCTTGTATGTCGGTTATCGCGGTAAAAAGTTCCTTGTGTCCTTCCTTAAGAATCAAACTTCATTTTCAACCAAATTTCATCTAAAAAAGGATGATTTCTGGGATAAAAAACCCTATGTCTTTTCCCGGGACTCAAATTATCTTCATTTAAAATTTGATCTAAATCGGTTCAGCGGTTTAAACGTGAAGGGGTACAAACACTCACTATAATAAACTAGTAATCACTATTTATCTCGTTAGTCGCGCTAGAAATTCACTCCGATGTTAATTCGCTGTGTCGTAAAACGATACTGTCCCAAACGGCTCGCTCCGCTTTTATAGCGCTTTTGAATTTTACTAGAAAGATCCCTAGTATTCGATAGTCCGTTCCAGACAACAAGAATATTCCAGAATCAGTCAACGCGTTACTTGCAGCGCCATCTAGCGCTGTAAGGATCAGAACTACTCGTATTAACTACAATCTTAATAGATGTACTTGAGTTGATACTAGATGGCGCTGTCCTCCACATTCCATACAATCGAACCATTTAATCCTATGGCGCAGCAATACTAACTCATAACAATATCTCAATATCTAAAAAATATATATTTATTTCAGAATATGGTGGGCCCTGGAGATGTGGATGAGGAATTAGAACCTGAAGTTAAAGATGAATGTAACACTAAATATGGAGATGTAGTCAAAGTATTAATTTTCGAGTTACCAAATGCGCCATCAGACGAGGCTGTCAGAATATTTGTTGAATTCAAGCGTATCGAGAGTGCTATTAAAGCAGTTGTGGATTTAAATGGTAGATTTTTTGGAGGGAGACAAGTCAAGGCAGGTTTCTACGATGTCGAAAAGTTTGCTTCCCTGCAATTGACTGAATAGATGTTTTATTTATTAAAGAGCGTACTCCTTCCTCAAAGGCTGGCAACGCACTTGTGACTCCTGAGTTGCAGGCGTTCATAGGCGGCGGTAGTCGCTTTCCATCAGGTGACCCGTCTGCTCGTTTGCCCCCTATTCCATAAAAAATAAATAAATATAAAAATACCTTAATATGTATTTTATTTTCTATGTCAATATTTAAAGACAGCAAGACCTTTTATAGTTACCAGTTATGCTAAATTCCTTAATAGTATTGTTTGTTTTGATTAGGAATGACGTTGGCGAGTAGTCATTTGTACAACATTTCGCTTTTTTACAGGCATTGGGTATTAGGCATCGATTATGACTCTGCTGCGGAGCATACTTCCTAGTCGAGCTACTTAAAACCCGTATTCAGGACAGATACAAGCCACTGTTTTTCTATGAAAACTAACTAAAGATAATCAAAACTACATCTTAACTTACTCGTTTCCATTCCACTCGATTTCCATTAAAAACCAGAAGCTTTTATCTGCTGTTAGGTTCTCCCTTTTTTCTTAGCGCAGTTCCTGTGATCTGGGAGTGCGTTGTGCTCGGGATGTGGGTCTCCTAGCTTTTTTGGTGTCTGCGCATGGTATTGCAAACTTTGTCACTTTTTTATTGGAATCCCATGGTGGCAAGGTGAGCATATCGTTTTGGCGGGGTCTAAGATATAGTCCACGCCATACATTTCCCGAAGCAGCGCACGTTCAGCGGGCGTGGGACGATGTGGGTGTAAAGCGGATCCAAAACACCTAATGCGTCGCAGACGGAATCTGGGGCATGGTTGCACGCGTTACCTTCACCTCACTTGGGCACTTTGTTGGATGACGATTCTCTGCGCGTGGCCGCTGCTCTTCGCCTGGGCTGCAAGGTTTGTGAACGTCATATGTGTATCTGCTGTTCTATGGTGGAAGTTGACAGGCACCATGCTTTGAGTAGCTTCCGGTTTCCGTTTTCACCATGTTCTCAACGACGTAGTCCGCAGAGCCCACATATCAGCCAACATCCCGTGTGTGCTTGAGCCCCTGAATTTGAGCAGATCCGATGGTAAGAGGCCTTACTAATTGACTCTGATGATGGGCTCGTTCTACTAGTGAATCTGTGATCTGGTAGAAATTTTTGAAAATAGTATTTTTTCAATGTGCAATAAATGAAAACTTCACAAGAAAAATAAGCTCTAATAAACATTACTATCACACATTATAACATTAAAACATTACTACCCATAAAGATATTTTTAATAACCCAAAAATAATATTTACAAGTTTATGAAGCTAAGTGGTTTGTAGTTCTACAACTGATTGATTTTCATTTTTTGAATAAGGTAACGCTATTATAAATTAAATGTAAGTGCGAGTGATTTGAATGTCAATCTGAAAAAAAATTAGTCGTCGCGCGATACATCTGACAGATGTGAAACATCGAAATTATTTTGTGGAAAAAATGAGTGTAATAATATAAAAAATTAAGCCGTCGCGAGACGTCTGGCACATATGAAAAATCTAATTTATTTATAGAAATAAGATACTTACCTAAGCGTAGCGACGTGTTGCCGCGGCAGCAGCCGGTCCGATCCTCCGCATTAGATGTTATACATCAAAAAGATTTTATACCTAGCGATATCTGGTATTTTATCCCGTTGCATCGAAATTTCGCATAACTAAACATCGCTTAAAAAATTAAAACTTTTTTTTAATTAAATAATATCGATATATCGATGTCTCTAAATTTTTGTCATGCCTTTGACATTACTGAATGAAATGGACTATGCCACTCACTCACTATGGAATCTATGGATATACTGAATATGGACTATTGTTAGTGAAAGACAGATTGTGGTCGACGAAAACTGTTTATTATTTTCTAAAAGAAATTGTTTTGCCAGAAATTATTTCCATTATTACCCATAAATAACAGAAACAATATGCAGTCATAGATTTGTAAATTAAGTAATGTTGCTAAAGGTGTTTTAGATTTTAATTACTCCAAAATAAAAGTCCGTAGATTAGGGATGATAGTGAATTTATTATGACTAATAATTTATAAACGTGCGTTTTATGTGTTCTACAATGGCATTATATTCGTGTAATAGATACAGACTTATTGTTTTGTTGCTGCTAGCTTTGATTATGTGGCAAGTGTTCCGCTTGTTGCCTGATAAACACGACTGGCAGTTATCAGAGGTAATTAATTCTCAATTAATTTTAATTAACGCATTTTAATAAAATTATTGGCTTTTTCATACAGATTCCATAATTGATTTTCAATTATTTTTTTCTAAAAAAGCACTATCCGCATGTTAAAACTTTGCCAGTGTGTTTATAATAATTAAAAAAAAATATCAACCCCCAACTCGACGGACGTCTATGGAAAGTTGAGCCATAATATTAATTGTTTCATGAATTATTTATTGTAGGTAATCATTAAATCTTTTCATATTGTTATTCCATATAAAATGATTGATGGAACTAATAATAAATTCAAATTAAATTATTAAAAACAGTAGCAAAGTTGCTAGTTGACAATCTTGTAATTTATTAATTTCTGTGTTTTTAGCCTGACATATTGGTGTTGGAGGATGGCAAATTTAATAAGCATAAGCAGGACAAGGTGAAAGTTAGAGTGTACTATGAGGCCCTCTGCCCTGATTCTAAACATTTCTTCATGAGACATTTGTATCCCGTGACAGAAAAACTCTCAGACTTTATTGATGTAACTTTAGTGCCTTATGGAAAGGCAACAGTAAGTCAATCAAATTCTTAATATAAATTTGTAGCTAAGAGTTCTATCTAGAAAAATGTAAATATAGGTTAGTTTGTTCTAACAAACTGTTTCACAGTTTGAAGACTTTAGTAAATAGGTGTGTTTGTTTTGACAAAAAAAATGACTTTGACTGTAATGTGTTAAGTTGTTAAGAGTAAATCATTCATTTGTCATAGTTATTGTAAATCTTGCTATAACAATACAAATTATAACGCAATATATGTATTAATAATACATCCAGCAACCTGCCTGCTGGTTTCCTTCCACTTTAGTGAATTACTACTGAGAAACGAACTGAGTAATTCACTAAAGTGGAAACCATCCATCCAACCATATAATCTGTAAGCTTGTTTTTCAATTTATCTTGTTCATATTGATGAGTTCAGTGCGGGGACTTTAATTAATAATAGGTAGTGATCAGTGTTGACATTAATCAATTAATTTTTATTGATTATTAAATTTGATTTATTTTAATAAAATAAAATTAACCATGGTTAAAAAAGTAATCTTAATCATGATTATTATTTTTAATAATTATCACATAATTCACTACACATTATCAACTCTATCACAGCCTTATCCTCCACCCCCTTATGCTGACAGAGTGACTCCAAAGGCGCCAATGTACTTGTGACATCTGATGTGCAAGTGCCCATGGGCGGCGGTAGTCACTTACCATCAGGTGTCCCGTCTGCTCGTTTGTTCCCTCGGCCATAAAAATATTGTCATAGATTTTATTTGCCAGTTAAAAGAAAAACAAATTAATGATTATGATTGTTAATCTTAATCAATCTAAATTTAATTATGAATAACTAATTTTAATTGAAATTTTAGATTATGACTTTTAATCATTAATTTTTAAACGTTAATCAGATAAACCATGGGCCAAGACTAGTAGCTATTCAAAAAGGGTGTTTACATAAACTTATAGTATATTTTGTTTATCAATTATAATGCAGTAACAAAGTTACCAGATTTTTTTTCATGATTCAGTCTTTAAATTATTCTATTAATTACAATATATAAATTGTTTTCAACTTTATAAATTGCTAATCATCATCAGCCTATCACAGTCCACTGCCAGACATAGGCCTCTCTCATTGCAGGGATTACACAATGGTTATGGTAAATAGTACAAACTTAAGAATAGAAATTTCTAAATTAAATTATTTTATTATTATTATCAGTTATTATATTTTCTAACTAAAAATTCATTAATCATTAGGTAGGCAGGTAATATTACAATTTCAGTTAAATCAAATTAAGTTGCCATACATATAACAATAATATAGTCTCAAGTTATTATTTTTTGCATTTTTCAGACCAAAGAAGAAAACGGAAAGTATTATTTTACATGCCAACATGGTGAACAGGAGTGTTATGCAAATAAAATTCATGCTTGTGCTATAGATGCCATTGGCAATATGACTTCAGTTGTGAAGATCACTGACTGTATGATTGCTGATAACGCGGATGCTGACAGAGCTCTTGAAAGAGTATGTAAATATTATATATTAAATTCTCATGTCCTACATCGAACCTTCTTACTACATCATAATATAACAAATTTATAAACCTGGACTTTAATAGATGACAAGATGTAAATGTTGACCACATTGAGAGACTATTATAGAATATAAAATCAGTGACTGTTCTCTTATCAACCCATGTAGGTATAGCATTTTTTATTGTTTTAGTGTGCTAAGTTAATGAAGATTGAAGCAGACCCTATAAGTAACTGTGCGAAGCATGAACATGGATCAGCTTTACTGAAGAAATATGGTGATGACACACACATTTTGAATCCAACTTTCATACCAACCATTATTATAAATGGTTCTGGAGGTAACCAACCGGCTATATTAAAAAATTTCCTTTTGGAAGTGTGTAAGTTAATTGACATGCCTCTCCCACCACCTTGCTTGTGACACGCTAAATTTATTAGACCCAACATGCATAACATACTTCAGCATTTTGAAAAGTAAGCAGCAATAAGTGGGCAAAAATAAAATGTATGTAATGAAGCTCAAATATAATTTGCTCATTGTTGTACTTTCATAAAATAGTAGTTTGAGTATTAAAATAAAGCATTGTAAATAAGTATGTGTATTTGCCAATAAATCTAAGTCTATGTATTATTATTTATTAACATATTCATGATAGTTGTTTCCATTGCCTTGGGAAATAATTTTTCTATTTGTATTCCTAATCTACATATTACCCTTGTAAATAATAGGCAGAGATACTGGTTGTATTGTCATTTAATTACCAGTAGGTGTAGATAAGTAATCTAAAAAACATAGATAATTACTCAGCTTTAGTTATCTATGCATTATATAGTTTTTTATCTATTCTGAGCACGTAAATCGTCGTTGTGATTAGTAAATGAAAATATTACAGTATTATTTTATCGCAAAATAATATAAATATGAATTGTTTTTTACCATTGTGGCGTCAGTTTATTTTATTACTAGAATTTGCCGATGTATGCTTCATGTAACGTAAAATTGCGATATGCATAGCGAATAACTGAATAATGAACCGCGAAAGCACCGTACCGCGTTCAATTTTCGCGCTGTTGTTTTACAAATAAGAGTGCTACATACGTACGACAAATTATTTGCTGAATTATCGATAAATATGTTTACTATTATCAGGATTATGATTGAAAGAAAAATTTTTAACATGAAAAGTGGGGGTTTAGTGTAAATAAAATATTTTTGTAATAACATTCACGTAGTGGCATTGGAACGTATAAGGCTATTAAATAATAATACAGTAAATGTATATAATATAAACAGACAATTATTGTTGTGCATTTCATGATTGGTGATTTATTAATTTGTTGTATTTTTTGATCATGTTGTGTCATGAACAAATATTATTATAAGTTTGTTTTAAAACAAAAAATTGGTTGTGTTTATTTATTCTTTATTATTATAGAAAGATAGAAAACTAATAAGTCAATTTCGTAATGGATGTCATGTTAATGAAAATTGTAACATAATAAAACATAAGTATAATATATATAGGCATTAGAAAAGCATACCATACCTAGATGAGCATGGCAGCCAAGTAGGTATGCTTCTAAATTCCAATACGTTTTTTGAATTCAGTCGTGCTTATTGTTCCAATGCAATGATTTATATTGTCAACAATTTTTGGGTCATTCTTATAGAATTTACGTATAATTTCTTATCATTTAAGTTGTTAGCGTAAAGACCAAGAATATACGTAAGGAAAAACGATGAGATTTTATGCAGATTACAAACATTCATGTCTAAATTTGCCTCTGAACACTTAAGACCCTATTCAAACTTGATATATACCTATAGGTATAGTCCTATATAGGCACCTAAATCTATACTCTATATCTATACAAATAAATAAAATTGGAGTGTCTGTTTGGAATATTAAAATAACCGCTTTTTAGTAAATGCATATGTATGTTTACACGGTACATATGCCAAAATAACATTTTTTTAAAATTTTGTCTGTCTGTCTGTCTGTTTGTTCCGGGTAATCTCTGGAACGGCTGGACCGATTTCGACGGGACTTTCACTGGCAGATAGCTGATGACATAAGGAGTAACTTAGGCTACTTTTTTTAGACTAGCTTCGCCCCGCGGCGTTTCCCGCGGTTATAACAACAAACGCGGGTAACACCGCGGGTCTCAGCTAGTAGTTTATATAAATGTGTACAGGACATATGACATGAACGAGGCAATGTTTAATAACACCTAAGTACTTAATAAGTAGGTTATGTGAATGGGGATAAAGTCACAAACGTGTGACAAATGACTAAATAATTTATTGACGGCACCATCATCATGCTATCAGCCTCTAGTTTGCCCCGTCTTCGGACATAGGTTTCCTCTCCCAATTTCAACTCCCGTGCCACCTCTATCCAATTCACCCCGCTTATCCTCAGATGTCAGCAATCCATCTTTTTGTCTTCCTCTATCTCTGTCTTCTATCTTGTACACCATTGTCACATATATGTGGTAAAGGTTGTGATGCCTTTGATTTCGTCGGCTTATTTGAAGTCTGGCATCCCTAATGTGCATTATTCTACTTACATTAAAAGGTTATTTGTTTCTAAGGCTTCCGCTGTAGCTTAATTTCATCTGTATCTATTTAATGCAATCTTTCAACATAGTATTTGAAAGCTCACACATCTATGACAAAGACGAACACACATCTATGATAAAAAAACAAAATCACACGCTTTAGTCATCAGGAGGTTTATCTTTTCGAGTGTATGCACAAAAAAAAATCGCAGGTTTCTTAATTTAAAAAACCTAATTATTTTATTTTGTTACATGTTTTTATAAATAGCTGTCAATTATCTACCAAAAATTATTTTCTACCTTTTATTTCCAATTTCTATTAAAGTGTCTTTCTATAAAATATAGTTATTTCTTCCGTCATTAGCCATTTAAAATATTTCTAAGTACGGTTTGTTAACTCCTGTATTTCTACATTTTAGTACGTGTAACTTCGTTTTCCTAATAAATTATGAAGAAAATCTAATTTTCTAATAAATAAATATATACTTAAGACTTAGTATTTGGCAGTAGGTATAAAATGTTAAATACTCTGTACATTATTGTTCTTCATTATACACTATTTTTCAAATCCGCACAGGGAACATGGTGTTACCGAAATGAATTAGGATGGTATATTTTTGTCTTCATTTAATTAATTAGATTTTATGTCTGTATTCAGAATAGGTGAATTTTTCAATTGCGAGTGTGCAAGTAGACCAAAAACAACATTAGAATATAAATGTGTGAAAATTAAACTATAATGTTAATGACACAATGTTAATTAAACTAGCTTATTTGCGTCGATTTAGTACGTATTGTGTTCACATTTTTTATGTATTTAATTCTAAATTTGTCTTGTCACGCGTTATCATCATATGATTATCGCCACAGAAAAATAAATGACTGATAAATACTTATCTTAAAAAATAGAGTTCCTTTTTTTATACGTATTATGCTATTAATTTTGTTTACGCATATCATATTTAAATTTCTAACTAACAAAAATAATAAAATTTGTTATTTAAGAACTAATTTAGCAAAAATTTTTTACAATGAATGTGCCAAATTCATAGTGTCGTCCAAATTGATACTAAATTTGTTAACATTGTAAATATAAATGCCTACCAAATGTTACTTTTATATATTTTTGTTGTTTGAGTATTAGCTCAAACAACAAAAATATATAAAAGTAACATAATTGACTGAATACGAAATACTATATAAAAATAATGTTTTAAATCTTCACAAGTATTTTACCTGACTTATCGCTCTTTTGGAGCGACAAAAGGAGGAGTGACAAAAGGAAATTTTTTTTGCGTAATCTGACTGTATGGTGTAATTAAGTCATTTTCGCATTTTTTACAATAAAGAAAGTTTTGTTGAAACACAAGTTTTATTTTTGTATTCAGATATGTTACTTACACTGTCTTGCCATTTTCAATGAAATGATTATGTTTTCTATATTGTTTTTTGCTTATACTAATTATTTTTATTCTCGTAATGTCGGACTATTGTCAAGTACATAGTACTTTAAAAATAAAGCGCACAATTTTACCATTGTATGAAGTTACTTGTTTTATTGAGTGTTTCCCGTCCCTTTTTCACCAACCGAATAGTCAAAAAGACGGAGCCTTACATAGCCGCACTTCGCCAAAGCCAAGTTGTACGAGTACAGGTGTCTGTTAGCATTTTGCGCGTTATCTGTTTTTTTAATATATTTTTTTTCCTGACAATATTGGAACTGTTTTCTACCGAAATAAACCGCATTGAGGTGAAGAGCAGTCTGTTACTTTTCTCGCCGCCACCCCGGCCTGTTGCTGGACGAGGCGGGTAAAGTGTTTGAGTGGGTACTCTCTGCCACATCGTCTGCCACCTCTACGAGGTGGGCCCCGAACTGTCGGACGCCCAACTCTGTTTTCTAGCTAGGCGTTCGACGGGTGGCGCTGTGCTGCGCCTGAGGGCCGTGACCGAAGAGGCGGTGAGCTGTAGCAGCGTGCTGTTGGCGGTGTCATTGGACATCGCCAACGCATTCAAAAGTCTGCCATTCAGCTGCATCAGGGAAGCACTCCACTATCATGGGTTGCCAAAGTACCTAAAGCGGCTAGTGGCAGACTATTTAGAGGAGCATATCATCGTGTACGAGTATCGAGATGGTAATCTGAGGTGTCGGCCCATGTCGTGCGGTGTTCCACAGGGGTCTGTCTTGGAGCCCTCCTGTGGAACATAAGGTATGACTGGGCCTGGCGCCTGGCCACCAGGGGAGTCTCGCTGGTGGTCGGGCGCATTGAGGCGCTTGGCCCGACACTGCTCCGCCGCAAACCCCAGTGGGGTGACTGCTCGAGGAGGTCTCCATACATAGAAAATTATAAAATTATAAATATTACAATTCAATTCCCTTTTTTAAAAGCCTATTGGCTGCAAATAGTAATTAAGCCACTGGTTCAGATTATGATTTCTTTGTTATCTGCAAGAGAGCAAAAAACAAGGAAGCCAACGTTATGTGAATACATAAGGATGCATTTTATATTTATATAACAATTACATTTTATTTAATTGAAGACATAATTATGTAAACACGTACATGACTTTATAATAAGTTCGGTAAAAAAATTGACATGCTTAGCGCCAGTCTTAATAGATTTAAGAGCCAAGTTCACGACAGAAGTAATTAGTTTTGGTAGCCAGATTAAATCAGGCTGTCAACTATAAGTTTTACAAATATGTATGTATAAAAATAAACACAAAGCTAACAAACATAATATGTTTGTTAGCTTTATGTTTATGTTATAACCCTTTTGTCGATTACTTTTTTTTTGTCTGTTTTTATTTTTTCTATTGTATCAATTTTTCCTCTAAACTACCAATTGTCACAGTAAGTGC